CAACCTCCCTCCCTAGTCCCCTGGGTTTTACCGGTAGGTGTGGATGGGGAGTGGGTAAGCCCGCGCGCTCTCCCTCTTTTCCCTGAGCCGTGCTCAACCTCCCTCCCTAGTCCCCTGGGTTTTACCGGTAGGTGTGGATGGGGAGTGGTATTTCTTGTGTTCGTGAAGAAATGAAAGGTCGGGGTAACTGCCTTCAATTCAGGGCACGCCTTTATCTGCGTACTCCTTGGTTTCTCAGTTGTCACAGGTTGTATTTCGCAGGAGGTGTTTTGTCTGCAATTCTCGCGTTATCTAGAATCGTATGAATTTGTTATTGTTATACTATGTCTAGAATGAGATTCGCTGAGAGCGTCGAAATTAACACTTGCAGCTGGACATAGTTCATTTTTTATCTACTTTTTTGCAACTGTATACTTGGACCTCATTAATACCCGGACACAAACGATTTCTTTAATGTTTTTTCGGTATTGGACGCCAGAAGGAAACTTGCGTGTGGCTCCATTAATGAAAAGAGAACGATTCTTCATCCGTAGTAATAGAAGAGAGTGTCGCCCACGTTTATGGCGAATGCTGCAGCAGAAACGGCAGAAATGTTAGCAGTAGTGGGACGGGGTATCTTTGCATGTTAGGGGAGTGTTGATCCTTGTTTCCGTGAGGGAATGAACGGGGTATCCCCCTTTCCATGCGCAGGAGGAATCAAACAGCAGCACTTCGTGGTTCTTCGGTGGTCAGTGGCTCAGGTTCAGCTGAGAGGTTTTGACTGCAACTCTCCTATGAGTTAGAACGGAAAATGTGATGGACGCTTGGTGTTAGAGATTGATGCTGTTTCGGAAAGGAAAGGTGCGTCATCAGTGAAGAAGTTACAGGTTGGTCCTTTTCACTGTCGCTGAATGTTCCTCCTTTCCTCCTCTTTGGCCGTTTACCCTCTCGTCTTTTGGACGAAGGTGTTGCCGAAATGACAGCATTAATGGGATGGATGAATTTTATCCAGGCAAGATTTTCCGAAGTTTTCTGTGCAGTTATTTATCATGTTTTCCTTCCGTCTTGGGTGGTAGTTCGCTCTTTTTTACCATTCGTGATCTATTTGTCATAACCTGCTGAAGGTATATAACGGAATCTCGAGAAAACAATATATAACCGCGTTTAGCATTTCGGAACTTCCTTCAAGACTTCTTTTCGTCTCCCTTATTCCCAAAGAGGAGTGCTTGGACCTGGTTCATTGCGCTTACAGGGCAATACTAGACTGAGCAATTCGGTCTCTCAGCCTCTTTCTTGAAACATTTGTTGCATTCGCATGGCGGAGACCTGAGGACACAGATAAAATGAAAATCTCAAAATGACAGCCTTAAGACACTTGAATAAATTCCGTTCTCCGCATCATTCAACCTATCGAATTACGTGATTAAATTTAATATGTGCTCTTAAAAAGGGAAACCACACTTAAGGTCCTTCAACTTTCCTTTTCCAGTGTTAGCGGTCCCTGTAAACGTACTAACGCTTTAGTGTGATTCAGTTTAGAAGGGGAGAGCTCTATCGCTGAGAACATGCGTTAATGGACAAGGAAATACTCAAAACTCAAAACGTTAGTTTGGGGTGTGCAGCCGTCCTACAGTATTTGGTGGAATAACTGTCCTACCAACATGAAGATGCAAGAATTAGATGAATGCTTTACTAATAAGAATCATTATCTTACACCGTGGTTAAAAAATATAAAAAAAAAAAAAAAAGCTGAAACTCTTCTAAAAAAAAATAAGGACGTTTAAAAATTTTAAAAATTAAAAAAAAAAAAAAAAGCGCACGGGTAAGTGAGCCTATAGCTCTCGTCGTCCGAGATGGGGTGGATCTAAATATCACGTTTTCTATAGCAGGGCCCGTTTTCTTTTACTGTCCAGTCATACAGGCATGACTGCTGCAAGGGTTCCTGATGGGGACTGCGCTTTAAGACGAATCGGAGAAGACTCGTAATATATTAACAAAAAATATTTTAAGTTACATCTGTCGCCATGAGAAAGTAATTTTTCCCGAGCGGTAGAAATGAACATACATAGTTAAAGAAAGAATGGCTTAGGGAAAAGGCAATGCCGGAAATCACGGATCTCCGTTTGAAGAAGGATGTTCCTTTGATCTATTAGTCGGGATGTGGGGAATTAATGCGGCGGTGTGACGGGCTTTTCCTCTGCGTAAAGGGTGAGAGAAACGATATTCGAGAACGACCTCTACAAAGAGCTGCGCAATTCTTGATGGGGATTGTGCTGTTGGACTAAGGGAGGGTCCCAGGACTTTACAGGTAATATATTACTGTACCTCTGTCGCCATTAGCAGTTTATTTTCCCCGGCTGGTGGAAATACAGCGGGAGGCCTCTGCTTTCCTGCTGTTCGTAATCGCATCGAAGGTCAAAAAAGTGATGGATCGTCTGTAAAAAAGACATGGGAGGAGATCCCCGGGTGTCAGGGAAGCGCTGTCTCCGTGGCGAGTGTCCCGTCGGCGCGAGTTGCCCGTGGGAAAGGCGGGCGGGCAGCGGCGGGCAGCGCTCGGTGGCTGCAGTGCCGGGAGGAGGCTGCGGGCGCCGCTGTTGACCGAGGAGGAGCGAGAGGAAGGCCGGAGCGCTGCAGGCAGCCCCGCCCGCTGCGGCCCGGCTCGATCGCTCGCCCGATCGCTGGCTGGCTGGTTTGCTGGGCGGGCGAGCGTTCTGCGATCGTCCCCGCGGTGCGGAGCCGTGGTGCAGCGAGGCGGAGGGTCCGGCGGCAGCGGCCGGGAGCGGCGAGACGGTGACGGAGCCGAAGCCGGATCGGTAGCCGGATCGGGAGGCGGAAGAGCGGTCGGCGGTGTTGCGGTGCCGGCGGTGGGGCGGCGGAGATGTGGTCGGCGGGGAGGCGGTGGGTCCGGCGGGAGCGAGCCCTGCTGTGGTGCGTCCTGTTGGCGGCGTGGGAGGCGGCGTGGGGTCAGCTGCGCTACTCGATTCCCGAGGAGATGCCGAAGGGCTCGTTCGTGGGCGACGTGGCCAAGGACCCTCTGAGGGACGCGCAGGACCCGGACGTGGGTCGGAATTCCCTGCAGAGCTACGAGCTGAGCGGCGACGAGCACTTCTCGCTGGCCGTGCAGGCGGGCCCCGGCGGGGAGCAGCGTCCCGAGCTGGTGCTGGCGAAGGCGCTGGACCGGGAGGAGGCGGCGTTTCACGAGCTGGTGCTGAGGGCGAGCGACGGCGGAGAGCCGCGGCGGACGGGCACGGCGCGGATCCGCGTGTCGGTGCTGGACGCCAACGACAACGCGCCCGCGTTCAGCCAGGCGGAGTACACGGTGCGTGTGGCGGAGGACGTGCCCGTGGGCTCCGTCCTCGTCACCGTCACGGCCACCGACGCCGACGAGGGCATGAACGGGGACGTCAAGTATTCGTTCAAGAAGCTTATGGATCAGGCATCGCAGATTTTCGAGCTGGAGGCAGCGACGGGTGAAGTCAGACTGGTGCGGAGCCTGGACTTCGAAGAAGGCAACTCGTACGAACTGGAGGTGCAGGCACGGGACGGCGGCGAACTTTTCGACACTGCGAAAGTTGTGATCACTGTGACCGACGTGAACGACAACACGCCCGAGATTTCGGTGCGGTCGGCGCTGAGCGAAATCTCAGAGGACGCCCCGCCGGGGACGGTGGTGGCCCTGCTGCACGTCCATGACCCGGACTCCGGACTCAACGGGCAGGTGCGTTGCAGCGTCGCCGAGAGCCTCCCGTTCCGTCTGGAGAAGAGCTTTGAGGACTACTACCGCGTGGTGACGGCGCGGGAGCTGGACCGCGAGGAGGTGTCGGAGTACAACGTGACGGTGCGGGCGGCGGACGGCGGGTCGCCGCCGCTGCGGAGCAGCGCGGTGCTGGCGCTGCGGGTGCTGGACGTGAACGACAACGCGCCGGTGTTCGCGGAGGCGCGGTACAGCGCGCGGGTGCCCGAGAACAACGCGGCGGGCGCGCTGCTGCTGAGGGTGCGGGCGCGGGACGCGGACTGGGGCGCGAACGCGCGCGTGCGGTACCGGCTGTGGGAGGGGCGGGTGCGGGGCGCGCCGCTGTCGTCGTACGTGTCGGTGCAGGCGGAGACGGGCGCGCTGTACGCGCTGCGCTCCTTCGACTACGAGGAGGTGCGCGAGGTGGGGCTGTGGGTGGGGGCGGAGGACGGCGGCGCGCCGGCGCTGAGCAGCAACGTGTCGGTGCGGCTGGAGATCGTGGACGAGAACGACAACGCGCCGCAGGTGCTGTACCCGCCGCCGGCGCCAGCGGGCTCGGGCTCGGGCTCGGGCTGGGGCTCGGTGTCGGGGTGGTGGTCGGGCGTGGAGCTGTGGCCGCGGTCGGCGGAGCCCGGGTCGCTGGTGGCCAAGGTGGTGGCGGTGGACGCGGACGCGGGTCAGAACGCGTGGCTGTCGTACGAGCTGGCCAAGGCGACGGAGCCGGGTCTGTTCCGCGTGGGGCTGCACAGCGGCGAGGTGCGGACGGCGCGGTTGCCGCTGGCCCGCGACGCGGCGCGGCAGAGCCTGGTGGTGGTGGTGAAGGACCACGGGCGGCCGGCGCTGTCGGCCACGGCCACGCTGAGGGTGGTGCTGGGCGAGAGCGTGGCCGAGCTGCTGTCGGAGCTGGGCAGCGCGGCGGCGGCGGCGCCGGGCGAGCCGGGCGGCAGCCTGACGCGCTGGCTGGTGCTGGCCGTGGCGGCCGTCTCCTGCCTCTTCCTCGCCTTCCTGCTGCTGCTGCTGGCGCTGCGCCTGCGCCGCTGGCGCCGCTCGCAGCTGCCGGCGGCGGGCAGCGGCGCCTTGCGCGGCGTCCCGGCCTCGCACTTCGTGGGCATCGACGGCGTCCGCGCCTTCCTGCGCTCCTACTCGCACGAGGTCTCGCTCACCGCCGACTCGCGCAAGAGCCAGCTGCGCTTCTCGGGCGGCAGCTGCTGCGACACCCTGCCGGCCCGCCCGCCGCCCGACGAGCCCGCGCCGCCGCTGCTCCCCGAGGACGCTGACGGCGCCCGCCGCGACGACCCCGCCGCTCCCCCGGTGAGTTGTGATCAAGTGCCTCTTGCTCCGGGGAGTTGAACGTGGGATCGTTGTTCAGTGTTGCACTTGTTAGGGGAGTCAAGAGAAACGGGGCTGCTATTGTCTTCAGTTTCGTAGCTCCACCACGCTTCCCTCTCGCGATTCTCTGTCCTTGCTGTCCTGTGCTCTCTGTCCCGCCTCGGGAGGTATAGTTATGAGGAAGGCAAAGCTTGGTTCATGAGCGCACTGTCCTGGTGCCTTTTTCTCCGGCGGATGATTGTGGGCTAATTGCTCAGCGTTCAAACGCTTGTTGTGGGAGTCAGGAGAAATGGGGCTGCTGTTTTCTGGAGCTTCCTTAGTGCGCAGCTTTGTGTTCCTATCATGTACCCACTTGTTTCTCATTTTGCCCCCTGATTCCTGTGTGGGATGAGCGTGTCTTGAAACCAACTGCTAATAGGGCCATGTATAACTTCAGTGCTCATCGGTTCTTCTCTTCTCAGCAGAATTTTCTGTTTCTCTATGACAATGGAGGGAGCAAGGAAATGTCTTTGTATTCGTGCATGATTTTGTCTTTGAACTGTGTACAACGGTGGAGGAATGGGCTAGACAACAACTGATTCCTTGTTGAAGGCTTGTCTGCCTGTTGTGAAGATGAAATCAAATCATCGAAGTTGTGACTATGTCCAAAATCTCTGGTTGAAGAGATATATATCTCATGGGAGATATATTTAGATTGTCTTTTAAGGTTGACTGATTTAAAAGAGTTGGATGTGTCTTGTCTTTAGAATACATGCATATGAGGGCAGGAGGGGAGTGATTCACGATATTGGGAGAAGTGTAAGCAAGGGGGTTTGGCCCTGTGCTGGTGTTCGCTGACCCAGCCTCTCCTGGAGGACCAGTTCACATTTACATTTAGACTCTTGATGTTTCTTCTGTGAAGCAGTGAGTGCATGATTGTATCTTCCTTCTCAGTATGGAGATGTGAAGATATACGTGCAAGAAGTTTGCTGTGTGGTAGCATTGCATGTTGAAGAGAAATGGTCTGGCTCACTGGCCTTTCCTCTCATGTGCTTTCAAATTATATGGCTTAAAGAACACTATGCGAGTTTTGAAGAGTTGGAGATGAGAATCATGGGAGCTGTGCATGAGGGGCACCAGACTTAGGTGTGCTCCTTTCCCTGTTCAGTGTCCACCTGTAGTATCATGCAACGCGAGATTCATCTTCCCAAAGAAATGTGGCTAGAGGACATGTGATTCCCGCTGTCTTGGGAGCCCTGGGAGGTCATTTCTTTGCTTTTGCAGGTGGTCGTCAATTTTTAACTAATACTGGATTATGTATTTATGACAAGCACAATAATCGGAGCTTTGGGAAGAACAAACTCTGCAATTTCTTCCTCCTAAATACCTGAATTGTGTTCGTACTGTAACTGCCATCATCTGGAATAGTGTGTTGTGATTCCTTATTTTCTACAGTTGTTTACTTCTTACCTTGTTCATTTCAGTAATCTGAATCTGGGCTTTTGAATCTGATAATGTGTGGAAGATCTCACCTGTTACATTTGTCGGAATGTCCCGTACATGCCTTTCATGTTTACAGCTGTCAAAACATACGGACATGCTTCCTTAAAATGTCAACTGTCAAATGTCAAAGTTGTGAAGTGTTGGAGATGAGAGTTGTGGGAGCTGTACATGAGGGTCACAAGAGATATGTTTCCTCCTTTCCTTGTTCAGTGTCCAGCTGTAATATCATGTAATGCAAGATTCATCTTCCCAAAGAAATTGAGTGAGAAGACAAGTTATTCTGGCTGTACTGGAAGGCCTGGGAAGTTGTTCTGGTTTTGCAGGTTCTTGTCAATTCTTAACTAACAGTGAATTTTGTACTTATCAGAAACTGCATAATGAGAGCTTCGGGAAGAGCAAACTGTGTATTTTCTACTGACTAAATACCAGAATTATGGGCCTACCCTATGTTCCCTAACCTAGAAAAGTATGTTCTGTTGACTTCTTTGTCTGCATGTGTTAACTTCTTGCATTGCTCATTGCATTGACTGGAAGGTGGGCCTCTGTATCCAGTAATATGTGGAAGATCTCACCTGTTTTATCTGACTGTCCCATGCATGCCTTTCCTGTTTACAACTGTAAAGAGATAGACTTCCATAGACATGTTTCCTTAAAATGTTAACTGGACAAATGCTCTTGCTTCTCATACACATGGTGAGAAGTCAGATACTATCCATAGTAAGGAGAAGTTGTCTGTGCAATTTTTCTTTGGATGGAGTCTACGTGCAACTTATGAAGATCAATGACAATGATGTGAGCTGTGAAGGCTTTGAGAACAGTCTTGTAGGTGCTGTATGTGAGGAGGTATCAGTAGAGACACGGCATGTGTTTTGCTAATTCCCAAGGTTCATTGCTTGTGTACAGTGAGTCTGAAGGTGTCTTATTTTGGAATATCACACTGCTCAGATTCCAGCTGGCCAAGGGGTGAGTTGATCAGTTTGCTTTCCTGTTGCATGACATTTCCTGTGAATCCCAGCTATTGAGCACAGATGTAGAATTTGCATTGAGGTTTGGGAATGAGTTGCCTTCCACATTGCCCAATGTTCTGAAGTAACATGATGGTATCTCTGAGTTGATACTTTGTCCTTATTGGAGCTGCATATCATTTATGCACTTGCGAACGTTTATTGCTTCTTCAAACTATTGTGATGATCCCAGAAATCTCTGCATGTGTTGTCATTTTGATCCTCATTCTCAGTAAGGAGAAGTTGTATGTGCAGCTTTTCTACAATGGTATCTGTCTGCAAAGGCAGTTTTGTGGTGTGTGATGTGTGGGTAGGGTGAAAAATTGTGTCTCTGCAGAGATAGTGCAGGTGAAAATGTTCCCTGTGGTATAATTTGAAATGTCAAAAAGATGTAAAGATGGTGTAAAAGTTCAGTCTGTCCTAGCTGTTGTATGAGGCCCACAGCTGAGGTTCCATGCATTTTCCTCTTTTATATTCTCCAAAGAAATTACTTTGAGGATCTGTGGCTCTGGTCTTTGGTGTGAGCTCCTGTGGACTTCTTACCAACTAGATAAAATTCTGGTGTTCCTGTTACAGCCGACATGATCTGAAATGTTAGGCCCTTATTCCTTCGCTTCTGCAGGTTTTTGATTCTTCCTTGGTTATTTTTGCCCAGGTGTGAAGCTGGTCCTCGTTGTGGCTAGTAATCCCTACACTATTTAAAAAATCTCTTATACTTGTGGGGTTAGAGGAGCAGATTTTATTCACAGCCTGTAGGTGTTCAGCTGCCAAGATGAATACTTTGATAGACCTCAGTTTCCCTAAGATGTCTCTGAATGAAACGCTCTTTGTCCCGTGGCTGCCATATGGCCAAAACATTGGCTACTGTCCCTGGTGCAACTGAAGGCTGTGAATGCAGAGCAAGAAGGGTGAGAGGCTGGCTCTGAACCATGAAAACAGATGGGTCTTTGGGTTGCTTTGAGTGAGCAATGGTTGGATTTCATGCCTGGTGCCAAGGCCTTTGCCATTCATGTCGTGATCCTGGCAAGGATTATATGAGGATAGGATGGAGAGAGAGAGGAATATTGCCCCTCTGCATATGTTCACTGTCCCAGTCTCTCCCGGAGGACTGCTTCCCTTTTATTCTTAGACTCTTGATGGTTTTCCTTTCTGAAGTGAACTGAGCAGAGAAATATAATTTTCTTCTTAGGATGAAGATGTGAAGATATGTATGTGAATTCTATGTTCAATGGCAACCTGGCTTGTATCAGGAATAGCGTGGCCAGCAGGAATAGGGAAGTCATCGTGCCTCTGTACTGGGCACTGGTGAGGCCTCACCTTGAGTACTGTGTTCAGTTCTGGGCCCCTCACTACAGGAAGGACATGGAAGTGCTGGAGCATATCCAGAGGAGAGCCACCAAGCTGGTGAGGGTCTAGAGAACAAGTCATATGAGGAGAGGCTGAGGGAACTGGGCATGTTTAGTTTGGAGAAGAGGAGGCTGAGGGGATACCTCATTGCCCTCTACAACTACCTGACAGGAGGTTGTAGAGAGGTGGGGGTTGGCCTCCCAAGTGAATAATGACAGGAGCAGAGGAAATGATCTAAAGTTGCGTCAGGGGAGGTTTAGATTAGGTATTAGGAAGAATGACTTTCCTGAGAGGGGGGTGAGGCACTGGAACAGCCTGCCCAGGGAGGTGGTGGAGGTTTATAAGAAATATAAGAAATGTTTGTTTGCTTTTGGGGTGGGTGGTTTGGTTTTGCTTGGTTTGGTTTTGTTTTGTTTTGTCCAGGTGTGGAACTGGGCCTCATTGTGGCTGGTAACCCTTAAAACATTGAAATAGCTTTTATAGTTGCTGGGTTGGAGAAGTAGTTTCCATCCAAACCTTGAAAGTGTACAGCTGCCAAGACAAAGCTGAGCGCTGTTTCTTTTCATGCCTGGTGCCAAGGCCTGTGCCTTGTTTTTTGTTATTCTGGTTTCCTTGCCCTGAAATGCAATGATAGTCCTCCACCACTAAAGTGTTTGTGCAACATCTGTGCACACAGAACAATGATGCATGAGTAGAACAGCTTATAATTCTTGTGTGAAAGTTCTTTTATCCATCTGTGTCTCCCTGTAACATTGTGATGTAGAATTTCTTCATATTTGGATTTACACTTTCTTTGGGACCTTTGTTTTCTGGAAGGTTGCGGTTCACTTCCCAGTGAGTTTCTCTGAAAACACTTTATCTTCTAGTGCCCATTGCCTTGTTTGTCTGGTTTATAGTTTGGGTTTTTTTTCTTATCTTTGTTTCCTATGTATGTAGGTTTATTTGGAATTATCAGCATGGCTTCATCTAGCAATGTGTCACGTGTTAGTGCCTCTTGCTCATGCTACAGTGAGTATGAAAGGCAGGAGAATGGAGGGTGTCTTTGTCTTCTGTTGTTGCTGGGAGAAAAAGATGTAAACATGACCTTAGTAGAAGTTGCATCTCTGTGGAACAGTGTGTGTGATAAAAGAGGGGAGGAGATTGCACCTAACCGGCTAGTTTCATGACGTAGTCTCTGCTGTGTGATCACTCCTCTTTTATTTTAGGCATTTCTCATTCTTAAGCTTTAGAATAATTCTGTTTCTTCTCAGAATGGTTGTGAGCAGATAAAAGTACTTCCCTTCTTGGTGTGCTCATAGTGTATTATCCTTTCATGAGATGTTTTTGCCAATTACGAGGGGGGTCAGACTCAAACCTGCCAGCTGTGTAGGGTTGTAAAGAAGAGAGGTGAGCTCTGAAGGAGTTGAGGTTCTTCAGCCTGGAGAACAGAAGGCTTTGGGGAAACTTTATTATGCCTTTTCAATACATAAAGGGGACTAATAAGAAAGATGGAGAGAGCCTTTTTCCCATGGCCAGCTGGGACAGGAAAAGGGGCAACAGTTTTAAATTGAAAGAGGGTAGATTTTGATTGGACTTAAAGAAGATTTTTTTTTTTTCTTTTAAAGAGAATGCTGAGACACTGGAGCAGGTGGCCTAGAGAACTTGTGGATGTGCCAACAGTGGAAGGGTTCAAGGTCAGGTTGGAGGGGGTTTATGCAATGTGATGTAGCGAAGGCTGTCACAGGCCATGGCAGAAGAGTGAACTAGATGATCATTAAAGGTCCCATTCAATACAAACCATTCTATGGTTCTATGAAAGATGTGACATGACTTTGCACTTTCCCATTGTCATGCTCTCAAGTATGGAGATGTAAAAGAAGGAAATTTTGTGAAACAGTAGTGTGAAAAAAAAAATGAACGTTGTTCTGCTACCTTAGCATAGAGCTATACACACCATATAATTATTCCAGTGTATTTGTTCTTCTACCTAAAAGAAAAATCAACAGTGTGACAAACGTCAGAGCTACATGAGCAAAAGGAAGAAATGCAGGGAAACCCTTGGCAGACTCCACATGAAAGGACTGAAAAGACATTTGCACCATACTTTTTCTCATTACTTATTTCTTATTGGAACATCATTGTTTCCTTCTGGCTATTCTTGCCATATAAGGAAGACAGATTTGAAAATACCTGAAGGAGTAATAAAATCTCCAATTGTCTTTCCAAGCTATAACATCGTTTCTTCCTCTATTACTTTTCTCTGGACAAAACAAGCAGTTGTGTTGTTTTATTTATTGTACTGCCACAAATATTTCCTACCGACGACTGACATTGAAAGAGATGACCTAAAAGTACGCGACAGCGCACCTCACTTTTAAAAGCCTTTGGAGTTTCAGCAAAATAGTGCCCCTGCGCTTACTGATTCTGATAAAAGAGAGACCCCAAAGCTGGGGGCAGCCAGTAAACACCGGCCGAAAGCCCGGACCCCCGGCAGCGCGGTCACCGGCCGCCTGCAGTATCGTGGCGGCGCCTCCGGGTGCCGCTGTTGGCCGACGGGGAGCGGCGCTGGAGCCGCAGCCGCAGCCGGAGCCGGCGCAGCGTCAGGAGGGAGGAGCGCGGCGAGCGCTGGCGAGAATGGCGGTCGGTGAGAGGCAGCGGGAGAGTGGGAGCCGGCGGCGAGCAGGCGGGCGAGTGCTGGTGCTGCTGCTGGGCGCTTTGCTGCTGGGCTTGTGCTGCCGGGCGGCGGCGGCGGCGGCGTCGGAGCGGATCCGCTACGCCATCCCCGAGGAGCTGGGCAGAGGGTCGCTGGTGGGGCCGCTGGCGCGGGACCTGGGGCTGAGCCCGGCGGAGCTGCCGGCGCGCAAGCTGCGTCTCAGCGCGGAGAAGCAATACTTCGGCGTGAGCGGGGAGAGCGGGAACCTGTACGTGAGCGAGAGGCTGGACCGGGAGGAGATGTGCGGCGAGTCGGCGTCCTGCTCCGTCAGCTTCGAGGCGCTGGTGCAGAACCCGCTCAACGTTTTCCACGTCGAGGTGGCCATCCAGGACGTCAACGACAACGCGCCGACCTTCAGCAAGGCTGCTCTCGACCTCGAGATCACAGAGTTGACGCTCCCTGGTGCTCGTTTTCCGCTGGAGATGGCCCGAGACGCGGACGTGGGCAGCAACTCTCTGCTGACGTACCAGCTCACTGGCAACCCGGCCTTCACTCTGGACGTCAAGGAGAGCCCGGATGGAAGCAAGAGACCGGAATTAGTGCTGGAGAGAGAGCTGGACCGGGAGAAGCAGAGCTCCTTTGAGCTAGTGCTGACGGCGGTGGATGGCGGGGATCCCGTGAGGTCGGGGACTGTCCAGATTCGCGTCAACGTGACGGACGCCAACGACAACGCGCCCGTGTTCGGCAAAAGCCTCTACGAGGCCCAAGTGCGTGAGAACGTGCCGGCGGGGTCGCTGGTGCTGCAGGTGCGAGCCACGGATGCGGACGCGGGCTCCAACGGGCGGGTCTCGTACTCCTTCGGCAACGTCCCGGACGACGTCCGCGCCTTGTTCAGTGTCGAGAGCGAGAGCGGCGAGGTGAGGACGGCGGGACCGCTGGATTTCGAGGAGAAGAATCAATACAGCTTCGGGCTGGAGGCGAGGGACGGCGGCGGACTCACGGCTCACTGCAAGGTGCAGATCGACATCATCGACGAGAACGACAACGCGCCCGAGATCACGGTGTTGTCGGTGTCGAGCCCGGTGCCCGAGGACGCGCCCGCCGGCACCGTGGTGGCCCTGCTGAAAGTGCGGGACCGGGACTCCGGGGAGAACGGTCAGGTGTGGTGCGAGCTGTCGGGCGAGGCGCCGCTGTCGATCGTGGCGTCGTCGGGCGGGTCGTACAAGGTGGTGACGGCGAGCGCGCTGGACCGTGAGCAGGCGTCCGAGCACCGCGTGACGGTGGTGGCCAGGGACCGGGGCAGCCCGCCGCTGTGGAGCCGCGCGTCGCTGGTGCTGGAGGTGTCGGACGTGAACGACAACGCGCCGGTGTTCGAGGAGGCGGCCTACAGCGCGTACGTGGCGGAGAACAACGCGGCGGGCGCGTCGGTGGTGCGCGTGCAGGCGCGGGACGCGGACGCGGGCGCCAACGGCCGCGTGAGCTACTGGCTGGCGGGCGGCAGCGCGGGCGCGGCGGCGTACGTGTCGGTGGAGGCGCGGAGCGGCGCGGTGTACGCGCAGCGCTCCTTCGACTACGAGCAGTGCCGCGAGTTCTCGGTGGCGGTGCGGGCGCAGGACGGCGGGGCGCCGGCGCGGAGCTCCACGGCCACGGTGCGCGTCTTCGTGCTGGACCGCAACGACAACGCGCCGCGCGTGCTCTGGCCGGCGCCGGGAGACGCGGCGGCGGCGTCGGGGGCGTCGGGATCGTCATCGCCGTCGGGGCCGTTCGAGGTGGTGCCGCGCTCTGCCGAGGCCGGGTACCTGGTGGCCAAGGTGGTGGCGGTGGACGCGGACGCGGGGCGCAACGCGTGGCTGTCGTACGAGCTGGTGCAGGCGTCGGAGCCGGCGCTGTTCCGCGTGGGGCTGCACAGCGGCGAGGTGCGGACGGCGCGGGCCGTGTCGGAGAGGGACGCGGCGAAGCAGCGGCTGGTGGCCGTGGTGAAGGACCACGGGCAGCCGGCGCTGTCGGCCACGGCCACGCTGCACGTGGTGCTGGCCGAGAGCTTGCAGGAGGCGCTGCCGGAGCTGAGCGAGCGGGCGGCGGGCGCCGACTCGCCGGCCGAGCTGCAGTTCTACCTGGTGCTGGCGCTGGCGCTCCTCTCCGCCCTCTTCCTGCTCAGCGTGGCGCTGGCCGTGCTGGCGCGGCTGCGCCGGGCCGGGCCGCCCGCCGTCCTGCGCTGCCTGGGCGCGCAGCGCTTCTCCGTGGCCGGCGCCGCCTTCCCGGCCGACTTCTGCGAGGGCACCTTGCCCTACTCCTACAACCTGTGCGTGGCGCCGGGACGCGCCCTCGCCCAGCCCGCTTGGCCCTCGCCGCCGCCTCTGCCCGTCGTGCCCGCGGAGGATCTGCTGGGCGCGGAGCCCTGCGGGAAGCCGAGCCCGAGCATCAGCGCCGGCGCGGGAGAGCCGCCCGCCGACCCCGACGCCCCGCAGGTCTGTAAGCCCGCGCGCTCTCCCTCTTTTCCCTGAGCTGTGCTCAACCTCCCTCCCTATTTGCCTGGGGTTCTACCGGTTGTTGTGGATGGGGAGTGATGGTTCGCGTGTGCATGAATGAAAGAGGGATCGGGGTAACTTCCTTTCCATTCCGAAAGGGCTGTTTGCCGCCATAACTTTGCCCCGCAGGTCTGTAAGCCCGCGCGCTCTCCCTCTTTTCCCTGAGCTGTGCTCAACCTCCCTCTCGATTGCCCTGGGTTTTCGCCGGTTGTTGTGGATGGGGAGTGATGGCCCGTGTGTGCATGAATGGATGTAGGATTGGGGTAATATTTTTCCATTCCGAACCGCCTTTTTGCCGCGAACTCCTTGGCTGTATCGGTTGTCAGTAGGTCTGGTTCACCGGAGAGGTTTTGACTCCGACTATTTTGTTGCCTAAAATCGTTAAGTTACTAATAGTTAGGGCCGATCCTTACTGTGTCGAATGAGATCCGCTGACACTGCATGAGCGCTTCGGAAGTAGTACTTGCAGTTGGAGTCATTTCCTTTCTGATCAACCTTTTCTGCAAACTGTGTTCTTGGACCTGCTTGATGGACAGTCTCGACCTCGTTGCTTAATGTTTTTTCGGTATTGGGCTCTCAAAGGAAACCCATGTGTATCTCCGTGGATGGAAGAGAGAATGCATCTTCGACTCTAGTTAGAGTCGCTTATCACCCATCCAGTGGATGGAGAGTGATGGTCCACGTGTGCATGAATGAATGAAAGATCGGGGTAATTCCCATTCAGAGCACGCCGTTAGCAGCCTCACTCCTTTGTTGCTCGCTGTTCAGGGGTTTAGGTTCAGCAGAGGTATTTTTTCCATAACTCTCATTTCGCGTAAATTCGTATGAGTCAGTAACGGTGAAGGCGAATCCTCATTGTGTAGAAGTAGTTTTGCTGCTTTTGTATGGCAGAGTCGGGATTGGCGAGTTGGAAGTGTTTCCTTTCTGATTGACTTTTTCCCTAAACTCTGTACTTGGGCCTCTTTGGCCGGTCACAAACACGTTAGTTAATGCTTTTTCGATATTGGACTCCAAATGGAAAAGTGCATGTGGCTCCATGGATGGAGAAGAGAAAGATTCTTCTTCCCTAATGATATGAGAGGGGAAACCGTTTGGGAAACGATGTTGCAAATATTGCATCAGGAGTTGGACGGGTGAGCTTTTTCTGGGGGGAGTGCTGATTCGTGTCTCTGTAAGAGAACGAACAGCATATTCCCCTTCCACTCATAGCAGGAACCCAGTGGCGGCAGTTCTTGGTTCTTCAGTAGTCACAGGTTCAGGTGAGATGTTTTGAATACAATTCTTTAGTGAGTTAGCAACAGTGAAGGCAGCAAACTAATGATTCTTCAGGACGGAAAATGTAGTCTCTTAGTGTCCGTGTGGCTCCAGCAATGGAGAATTTTCTGGTTGATACTCCTCGCTGTTACAGAATGTTCTCCCTCTACTGCTGTGTGTCGTCTATCCCATTGGAGGAAGAGTGCTGCAAAAATGGCAGCATTAATGGGATGGATGAATTTTATCCAGGAACGATTTATCCGAACTCCTTGTGCTGTTATTGGTCATTTTTCTCTTCCATCCTTTAAGGAAAGTTTACCCTTTCCTTATCTGTCTTTCATTCAAACGTGGAGGTGTAGAATGAGATCTCAAGAAGACAAAAAATAACTGTGTTTAGTATTTCAGAGCCTGTCTTTTTTTCTCTTCCAAACCTGCCTACTCGGGTTGACAGGGAAACACTACATTGAGGAATTGGGTCTCTCAGACATTTTTTTAAACAGTTTGTTGAGTCCTTGTTTACTCAGCCTGAGGACATATGTAAAGCAAAAAGGAAATAGTAAAGTGACAGCTATTTGGCACTTGAATCAAGTCCTCGGTCGACATAATTAAGGGTGTGCGGCCGTACTTGTCTTCTGAAGTCCTGCAGTATTAGGTTGAAAAGGGATCTACAGATCACTGTTCTCCACTTAAAGGTGGATCTTCATTGTTACTTTGTTGCATTGGTCGGGATGTGGGGAATTAATGTGGCTGTACGAAGCCCCTTTGATCTGCAGAAAGGGTGAAGGACAATAAATTAAAGCACGATATGCTTTAACATATCGAATGTCTGTCATACATACATATTTGACTACATTCAAGCACCACTGCTACAAAAAGCTGCGCAATTCGCTGTAGAGATTGTTCTGTCGGACGAATGGGACAAGGCTTGAAATATTCGACATGTCGTATTAAAACTGCTTAATAAAAGTGATATATCGTCATTACCAAAGCATTTTTCCCGTGCGGTAGAAATAACACACAATCGGAAGGCGTAGTTGAGTATGACCATCTAAAGGATCAAAGGAGAGATCTTCTGGAGAAAAAGCATAGGAGGAGATCAGCGGAGGCCGGGAAGCGCTGTCTCCGTGGCGAGTGTCCCGTCGGCGCGAGGTGCCCGTGGGAAAGGCGGGCGGGCAGCGGCGGGCAGCGCTCGGTGGCTGCAGTGCCGGGAGGAGGCTGCGGGCGCCGCTGTTGACCGAGGAGGAGCGAGAGGAAGGCCGGAGCGCTGCAGGCAGCCCCGCCCGCTGCGGCCCGGCTCGATCGCTCGCCCGATCGCTGGCTGGCTGGTTTGCTGGGCGGGCGAGCGTTCTGCGATCGTCCCCGCGGTGCGGAGCCGTGGTGCAGCGAGGCGGAGGGTGCGGCGGCAGCGGCCGGGAGCGGCGAGACGGTGACGGAGCCGAAGCCGGATCGGTAGCCGGATCGGGAGGCGGAAGAGCGGTCGGCGGTGTTGCGGTGCCGGCGGTGGGGCGGCGGAGATGTGGTCGGCGGGGAGGCGGTGGGTCCGGCGGGAGCGAGCCCTGCTGTGGTGCGTCCTGTTGGCGGCGTGGGAGGCGGCGTGGGGTCAGCTGCGCTACTCGATTCCCGAGGAGATGCCGAAGGGCTCGTTCGTGGGCGACGTGGCCAAGGACATGGGACTAGAGCTGTCAGCTCTCCAAGACGGCGGCGTCCACCTCCTGGACAAAGGTAGGACGCAGTATTTCTCTCTGCACGGGAAGACGGGACATTTAGTGACGGCGGAGAGGATAGACAGAGAGCAGCTGTGCCGGCTGGTGGAGAAATGCGTGCTGCGCTGTGAGGTGATCGTGGATGGGGAAATGACGGTTTATGATATAGAGGTGGAAATCACGGATATTAACGACAACGCCCCCAGCTTCAAGGAAACAGAGGTGGAAGAGAGAATAAGCGAGATGACAGCGCCGGGGTCGCGGTTTCCCTTGACCAGGGCTCAGGACCCGGACGTGGGTCGGAATTCCCTGCAGAGCTACGAGCTGAGCGGCGACGAGCACTTCTCGCTGGCCGTGCAGGCGGGCCCCGGCGGGGAGCAGCGTCCCGAGCTGGTGCTGGCGAAGGCGCTGGACCGGGAGGAGGCGGCGTTTCACGAGCTGGTGCTGAGGGCGAGCGACGGCGGAGAGCCGCGGCGGACGGGCACGGCGCGCATCCGCGTGTCGGTGCTGGACGCCAACGACAACGCGCCCGCGTTCAGCCAGGCGGAGTACACGGTGCGTGTGGCGGAGGACGTGCCCGTGGGCTCCGTCCTCGTCACCGTCACGGCCACCGACGCCGACGAGGGAGTGAACGGGGACGTTAAATACTCTTTGAATAAAGTGACAGACCTGGTATCAGATTTTTTCCAGCTGGACGCTAAGACAGGAGCAATGACTTTAATGAGAAGCCTGGACTTCGAAGAAGGCAACTCGTACGAACTGGAGGTGCAGGCACGGGACGGCGGAGGCCTTTTCGACACGGCGAAAGTCGTGATCACTGTGACAGACGTCAACGACAACGTGCCCGAACTGATAGTGTCTTCTGCCCTGAAAGCGATCTCTGAGGACGCCCCGCCGGGGACGGTGGTGGCCCTGCTGCACGTCCAGGACCCGGACTCGGGGGCCAACGGGCAGGTGACCTGCTCGCTGGACGGGGGCGTCCCGTTCCGGCTGCAGAGCTCGCGGGGCAGCTACTACAGCGTGGTGACGGCGCGGGAGCTGGACCGCGAGGAGGTGTCGGAGTACAACGTGACGGTGCGGGCGGCGGACGGCGGGTCGCCGCCGCTGCGGAGCAGCGCGGTGCTGGCTCTGCGGGTGCTGGACGTGAACGACAACGCGCCGGTGTTCGCGGAGGCGCGGTACAGCGCGCGGGTGCCCGAGAACAACGCGGCGGGCGCGCTGCTGCTGAGGGTGCGGGCGCGGGACGCGGACTGGGGCGCGAACGCGCGCGTGCGGTACCGGCTGTGGGAGGGGCGGGTGCGGGGCGCGCCGCTGTCGTCGTACGTGTCGGTGCAGGCGGAGACGGGCGCGCTGTACGCGCTGCGCTCCTTCGACTACGAGGAGGTGCGCGAGGTGGGGCTGTGGGTGGGGGCGGAGGACGGCGGCGCGCCGGCGCTGAGCAGCAACGTGTCGGTGCGGCTGGAGATCGTGGACGAGAACGACAACGCGCCGCAGGTGCTGTACCCGCCGCCGGCGCCAGCGGGCTCGGGCTCGGGCTCGGGCTGGGGCTCGGTGTCGGGGTGGGGGTCGGGCGTGGAGCTGTGGCCGCGGTCGGCGGAGCCCGGGTCGCTGGTGGCCAAGGTGGTGGCGGTGGACGCGGACGCGGGTCAGAACGCGTGGCTGTCGTACGAGCTGGCCAAGGCGACGGAGCCGGGTCTGTTCCGCGTGGGGCTGCACAGCGGCGAGGTGCGGACGGCGCGGTTGCCGCTGGCCCGCGACGCGGCGCGGCAGAGCCTGGTGGTGGTGGTGAAGGACCACGGGCGGCCGGCGCTGTCGGCCACGGCCACGCTGAGGGTGGTGCTGGGCGAGAGCGTGGCCGAGCTGCTGTCGGAGCTGGGCAGCGCGGCGGCGGCGGCGCCGGGCGAGCCGGGCGGCAGCCTGACGCGCTGGCTGGTGCTGGCCGTGGCGGCCGTCTCCTGCCTCTTCCTCGCCTTCCTGCTGCTGCTGCTGGCGCTGCGCCTGCGCCGCTGGCGCCGCTCGCAGCTGCCGGCGGCGGGCAGCGGCGCCTTGCGCGGCGTCCCGGCCTCGCACTTCGTGGGCATCGACGGCGTCCGCGCCTTCCTGCGCTCCTACTCGCACGAGGTCTCGCTCACCGCCGACTCGCGCAAGAGCCAGCTGCGCTTCTCGGGCGGCAGCTGCTGCGACACCCTGCCGGCCCGCCCGCCGCCCGACGAGCCCGCGCCGCCGCTGCTCCCCGAGGACGCTGACGGCGCCCGCCGCGACGACCCCGCCGCTCCCCCGGTGAGTTCCTCCCACCCTCGGAATTGCTCAGCCACGCTTCCCTCTCGCGATTCTCTGCCCTTTCCCCTACCTGTGATCTTTGAACGAATGTTTGGGATTATTTAGAAATTGGAAATTTCATTATTAGCATGGTCAGACATCTTCCTGACAGCACTTGTGCTCGAGTAGGATGAGATTGTCTTGAAACAGGCTGTATATTGCCCCATCTGTAACTCAGCTGCTCACGGTCACTGCCGTTCTCAGCATTTCTGTTTCTCCATGACAATGAAGGAAGCAAGGAAATGTCTTTGTCTTCGTGTATGGTTTCATGTTTTTGCACAGTGTGGAGGAATGGGATGGGCAAAATCTTATCCCTGTTCCATGCCTGGCTGCTTGTTGTGAAGATGGAAGCGAATCATAGAAAATGTGAGTATTTGCAAAAGTCTCTGGTTTGCTGCATTTGAAAGGCTACTAATGGGAGGTATGTTTAAATTTACTTTTCAGGCTGACTGACTTGAAACTGAGCTGGATGTGTCTTGTCTTGGGAGTACATGCTGTGCTATAGGAAGAATCATATGAAGGTCTAAGGGGAACGATTGAAGGTGTTGGGAGAAATGGAAGGAGAGGGTTTCTGGCCCTGTGCCTGTGTTTTCTGTCCCAGCCTCTCCTCCAGGACCCCTTCCCTATTACTCTGAGACTCTTGATGTTTCTTCTATGAAGCTGTGAGCACAAGGTTGTATCTTCCTTCTCAGTACAGAGATGTGACAATATACATGTGAGAAATTTGTGGTGCGATAATGTTCATGTTGAAGAGAAATTGTCTGGGCCACTGGTCCTTTCTTGTCATGTGCTTTCAAACTACATGGCTTAAAGAACACCTTACCAGTCTTGAAGGGTGGGAGGTGAGAATCGTGGGAGCTGTGTGTGAGACACACAAGAGATATCCTTGCTCCTTTCCCTGTTCAGTGTCCAGCTGTAGCATCATGCAATGTGAGATTCATTTCCCAAAGAAATGTGACTGGAGGACATGTGATTCCCGCAGTGTTGGGAGCCCTGGGAGGTTCTGCCTCTAGTTTTGCTGGTGGTCATCAGTTCTTACCTAACTCTGCATTGTGTACTTGTGTCAAGCACTGTAATGGGAGCTTTGGGAAGAGCAAACTGTGTAATTGCTACCCTCTAAATACCTGAATTATCTACGGACTGTAACCGACATAATCTGGAAGGGTGTGTTGTGATCCCTTGCTTTCTACAGGTGTTCACTTCTTGCATTACTCATTTGCATGATCTGAAGCTGGGCTTTTGTATCTGATAATGTGTGGAAGATCTCACCTCTTACAGTTGTCTGACTGTCCCATACATGCCTTTCATGTCAACAGCTGTCAGGAGATAGACTTCCATGGGCATGTTTCCTTAAAATGTTAACTGGACAAGTGCTCTTGTTTGTCATATGCACATGGTGAGAAGTCAAGTGTTACCTATGGGAAAGAGAAGTGGTTGGTGCAACTTTTCCTTGGGTGGAGTCTGCCTGTAACTGTATTAATGCCCAGGGTTCCTTGCTGGCCTACCTGAGTCTGAAGGTGTAGAAGGATGATGCTGTCTTTGCGGTGATACTTTGATGACTGGGTCTGTATTGGAGCTGCATATCCCTTATGCCCTTGAGAATGTTGGATGTTCCTTCAAATTAATGTGATGATTAGAGAAATCTCTGCATATATCCATGTGGGATCCTTGTTCTTTCAATGGTGTCTGTCTGCAAAGGCAGCCTTTGTGTTGTGTGATGTTTGGGAAGGGGGAAAATTGTGTCTGTCCAGAGAGAGAGCAAGTGGAAAAGTTCACCATGGTATATATTGAAATGTTTCTCCTAGTTGTTGTATGAGGTCCAGAGCTGAGGTTCCATGCATTTTCCACTTTTCTATTGGGAAAGAAATTCACTTGTGGAATTGTGGCTCTGGTCTTTGGTGTAAGCTACTGTGTGAGCTTCCTGTAGCTTGTTACCAACAAGATACCCTTCTTGTGTTCCTCCTAGAGCTGACATGATCTGAAATACTAAGGTCGCCTTCCTTCACTTCACCACGTTTCCCATTTTTGCCTTGTTTGTTAGAGGATTATTTTTCGGGGTGTGGGGGTGGGTGTGCATGTCTTGAAAGTGACTGTTAGTGGCCCTGTATTTAGGGGCTCCTCCTTTCTGCCTTTCTCAGCCTTTCTATTTCTCCTTGGTATCATGGTGACCTATGGAATGTCTTTGTATTTGCCTAAACATTGATCTTTCTGCACCGCTCAAGGAAGGTCCTGGGCAACAACTTGACCCTTGTCGATGTCTGTCTACCAGTTGTGGAGGTGAAGGAGAATCATCAAAGTTGTGATGATTTGAAAAACTGTCTGGGTGGCTGTGTTTGAAGGGGTACTAACGGTAAATGTGTATTGCTGATTCTCTCTCTTTTATGGTTGACTTATTTGAAAAGGAGCTGATCCTGTCTTGGCTTGACAATAGATGCTATGGCAAGAGCCATACGAGGGTTGGAGGGAGAGCTTAGGAGGGTGATATTGCCCCCTTGCAGATGTTCTCTGACCTAGGTTGTGCTGGAGGACCACTTCCTTTTTACCCTTAGACTCTTGATGTTTCTTCTCTGAAGTGTAGTGAGCAGACAATATGTTTTCCTTCTTAGGATGGTAATGTGAAGTTATCCATGTGAAGTTTGTGGTGCAATAGTGGTACGTGTTGAAGAGAAATGGTGTAGGCAACTAGGCCCTTCATGTCATGTGCTTGTAAATTCTAAGGGTCAAAGAACACCATGCAAGTTGTGAAGGCTTGAAGATAAGAGTCCTGGGAACTCTGTGTGAGGGTAACAAGAGATAATTTTGCTTCTTTCCCCATTCAGTGTCCAGCTGTAGTATCATGTGACTTTCATCTCCTAAAGAAGTTTGGCTAGAAGACAAGTGATTCCAGCTGTTCTGGGAGCCTTTAGAGGTCCTTCCTCTGCTTTTTCAGGCTGTTGTCAATTCTTAACTCACAGTGAATTGTGTATTTATGACAAGCACCAGAATGAGGGCTTTGGGCAGAGCAACCTGTGTCTTTGCTACCTACTAAATACCTGGATTATGAGCCTACTGTGTGTGCCATAATCTAGAAGAGTAAGTTAGGAGCCCTTCCTTTCTGCATGTGCTCACTACTGCCCTTGCTCATTGTGATGATAAAGTGCCTTTACACAAATGCACACAGCATGGGGAAGAAGCAAGAGGAGTTAGAGACGTGCGCACGCCTCCAGGCCTACGATCTTATTGGCATTACCGAGACATGGTGGGATGCCTCTTATGACTGGAGTGTTGGAATGGAGGGTTACAGACTCTTCAGAAAGGACTGGCTGGGCAGATGGTGAAGAGGTGTTGCCCTCTATGTCAGTGACCAGCAGGAGTGTGTGGAGTTCCACCTGAGATGGATGAAGACCCGAAGGAGAGCTTATGGGTGTTGGAATGGAGGGTTACAGACTCTTCAGAAAGGACTGGCTGGGCAGATGGTGAAGAGGTGTTGCCCTCTATGTCAGTGACCAGCAGGAGGGTGTGGAGTTCCACCTGAGATGGATGAAGACCCGAAGGAGAGCTTATGGGTCAGGATTGAAGGGAGCACAGGGGCAGGTGATGTTACAGTAGGAGTCTGCTACAGACCACCAGATCAGAGTGACAGGGAGGATGAGGCCCTCTATAGACAGATAGGAGCAGCATCGCGCTCACACACACCTTGGTCCTCATGGGGGACTTCAACCACCCCGATATCTGTTGGAAGGACAACACAGCAAGGCACAAGAAATCCAGGAAGTTCTTGGAATGTGTTGATGATAACTTTCTTCTTCAAATGATCGAGGAGCCAACGAGGAAAGGAGCTGTGCTGGACCTTTTCCTTACCAACAAGTATGGGCTGGTGGGGAACGTCAAGTTCAAGGGTAGCCTTGGCTGCAACGATCATGAAATAGTAGAATTTAAGATTCATAGGGCAGTGAGGAGGATGTGCAGCATGCTCACTGCCCTGGATTTCAGAGGAGCAGACATTGGTGTCCTGAGAGATCTGATTGGCAGAGTAGCGTGGAAAAAAACTGGAGGGGAAATGGGCCCAAAAAGCTGGTTGGTATTCAAGGATCGCCTCCTCCAAGCTCAGGAGAGGTGCATCCCAAAAAAGAAGAAGTCAGGCAAAATATCCAGCAGGCCTATTAGGCTGAACAAGGAACTGCTGGACATGCTCAGTACCAAAAAGGAGGCCTATAGAGGGTGGAAGCAGGGATGGGTAGATTGGGCAGAATATCGAGAAACTGTCTGAGTGGCCAGGAACCACACCAGGTGAGCAAAAGTCAAGGCAGAACTAAATCTATCCAGGGATGTCAAAAACAATAAGAAAAACTTCTATAGATAATGCCAAGGATAAAGGCAAGACTAGGGAAGTTGTGGACCCTCTCCGGAAGAGAACGGGAGACCTGGCCACTCAGGATATGGATAAGGCTGAGCTACTGAACAACTTTTTTGCCTCAGTCTTCACCGGAAAGGGCTCTAACCGCACTGCCCAAGTCACGGAAGGCAAAACCAGGGGCTCTAAGAATGAAGAACTGCCCACAGTATGAGATCATGTCTCTTTTTTGCCTCAGTCTTCACCGGAAAGGGCTCTAACCGCACTGCCCAAGTCACGGAAGGCAAAACCAGGGGCTCTAAGAATGAAGAACTGCCCACAGTATGAGATCATGTCTGAGACCACCTAAGGAACCTGAAGGTGCATAAGTCCATGGGACCTGATGAAATCCACCCACAGGTCCTGAGGGAGCTGGCAGACAAAGTTACTGAGCAGTTTTCCATCATATTTGAGAAATTGTGGCAATTTGGCAAAGTTCCCACTGACTGAGAAAAGGGGAACATGACCCCCATATTCAATACAGGAAGAAAAGAAGACCTAGAGAATTAGAGGCCAGTCAGTCTCACCTCTGTGCCTGGCAGGATCATGGAGCAGATCCTCCTGGAATCTCTGCTAAGGCACATGGAAAATAAGGACGTGATTTGAGACAGCCAACATGGCTTCACCAAGGGCAAATCATGCCTGACAAATTTTGTGGCCTATTACAATACTGCCACAGACTTGGTGGACAAGGGCAAAGCAACAGACATCATCTACCTGGACTTATGCAAAGCATTTGACACTGTCCCACATGACATCCTGGTCTTAAAATTGGAAAATCATGGATTTGATGGATAGACCATTCAGTGGATAAGGACCTGGCTGGATGGCTGCACTCAAAGAGTTGTGGTCAATGGTTCAATGTCCAAGTGGCGGCCAGTGATGAGTGGTGTTCCTCAGGGGTTGGTATTGGGACCACTGCTATTTAACATCTTTGTCAGAGACATGGGCAGTGGGATAGAGTGCACCCTCAGGAAGTTTGCCGACAACACCAAGCTCAGTGGCATGGTCGACAGGCCGGGTGGAAGGGATGCCATCCAGAGGGACCTGGACAGGCTTGAGAGGTGGGCTTGTGCAAACCACATGAAGTTCAACCAAGCCAAGTGCAGGGTTCTGCACCTGAGACATGGCAATCCCAGGCACAAATACAGGTTTCATGGAGAATGGATGGAGAGCAGCTCTGAGGAGAAGGGCTCAGGAGGGCTCATGGATGAGAAGCTCAACATGAGCCAGCAGAGCTCACTGACACCCCAGACAGCCAGCTGAATACCATGCTGCATGAGGAGAAGTGTGGCCATCAGGTCGAGAGAGGTGATTCTACCCCTCTACTCTGCTCTCGTGAGACCCCACCTGGAGTAGTGTGTCCAGCTCTGGAGTCCTCAACATAGCAAGGCCATGGAACTATTGGAACGGGTCCAGTGGAGGGCCAGGAAGATGATCAGAGGGATGGAGCACCTCTCCTATGAAGATAGGCTGAGAGAGCTGGTGTTGTTCAGCCTGGAGAAGAGAAGGCTACGAGGAGACCTTATAGCAGCCTTCCAATATCTGCAGGGAGCCTACAGGAGAGCTGGTGAGGGACTCTTTGTCAGGAAGTGTAGTGACAGGACAAGGGCTAATGGTTTTAAATTGGAAGAGGGGAGATTTAGATTAGATACCAGAAAGAAATTCTTTACTGTGAGGGTGGTGAGGCACTGGAACAGGTTGCCTAGGGAAGTTGTGGCTGCCCCACCCCTGGAAGTGTTTAAGGCCAGGCTGGATGGAGCTTTGAGCAACCTGCTCTAGCGGAGGTGTCCCTGCCGATGGCAGGGGGGTTGGAACTAGATGATCTTTAAGGTCCCTTCCAACTCCAACCATTCTATGATTCTGTGATTCTATATGATCTGGAAGTGAGCCTTTGTATCTGATAATGTGTGCAGGATCACATCTGTCACATTTTCCTAGCTGTCCTATACATAATGCTCATATTTACAGCTGGAAAGAGAGGGTCTCATTGACATGTTTCCTTAAAATATTAACTCAACAAATGTTCTTGCTTTTCATATACACATGGGGAGAAGCCAAATATTATCCATGGAAAGGAGAAGTTTTCTGTGCAACTTTTCTATACGCGGCCTCTATCTGCAAATTATGAGGATCATTGTCAACAGTGTGAGCTGTGAAGGGTTTGAAGAGAGTCTTGGGGTGCTGTGTGTGAGGAGGTAGCAGTAGAGAAAAGGCACGTGTTTTATAAATTCCTAGGGATCATTCCTGGGCTACATAAAATTTTGGATATTGCACTGCTCAAATTCCAACTGGCCAAGTTGTGGGTTCACCACTTTGTTTCCTGTTGCATGCTATTTCCCATCAATGGCAGTTATTGAGCATAAATGTAACCTTCAGGTTAAGGCTTGAGCAGCATGTATCTTCCAAGTTGCCCAGTGTGCTGAAGTAAGATGATGGTATCCCTGAGGTGATTCTTTGACAACTGGGTCTGTTTTGGAGCTGTGTATCACTTATGTGCTTGAGAAGATTTGATTTTTCTTCCAATTAGTGTGATGAGCAGAGAAATCTCTCTGCACGTGTCCATGTTGTGATCTTTCTTCTCAGTGAGGAGAGGCTGTGCATGCAACTCTTCCTTCAGAGGTGTCTGTTTGCAAAGGTTGTTTTTGTGTTGTCTTATGTGATGTTTGGTCAGGGTGAAAAACTCTGTTCAGAGACAGGGCATGTGAAAAAGTTTGCTGTGGTATAATTTGAAATATCTAAAAATGCAAAGATAGTGTAAAAGTTCAGTTTGTCCTAGTTGTTGTATGAGGCCCACAATTGTGCCCACATGCATTTTCCAGTTTCTCATTGTCCAAGGAATTTACCTTGAAGATCTGTGGATCTAGTCTTTGGCGTGAGGTCCTGTGTGAGCCTCCTGTGGACTTTTTGCCAACTAGATACCCTTCTTGTATTCCTACTTCAACAGAGAGCAGACCCCAGCTGATTAAAGGACTATTCCCTACCATGTGACATCATGCTCACTATACAGAGGTGGCTGAAGAAGTGAGTCAGGGGACACATTTGGAGTTATCGTGTTTGTCTTCAAAAGGAGCCACTAGACATGGTGGAGCCCTGCTTTCCTGGAGAGGGCTGAACATGTCCCTGTCCATCAGAAGTGGTAAATGAATTCCTTGTTTTGCTTTGCTTCTCTGAGCAGCTTTTGCTTTTATTGAAACTGTCTTTATCTCTACCCATGGGTTTTCTTACATTTATTCTTCTGATTCTCCCCCTCAACCCCAACTAGGAAGTGAGCAAGAGGCTGTATGGTCCTAACTGCCAGCTGGGGTCAAATCATGATGATGATACTGACAGCAGGATTCAATGCACCCACAGCAGTTTTGCAGACAACACCAAGCTGTGTGAGAATAATTACTCTCTGAATTCATTTGTGTTGCAGCAAGAAAGTGCACCTGCGGTTCTAGATTCTAAAAAGAACAGAGACCCCAAAGCTGGGGGCAGCCAGTAAACACCGGCCGAAAGCCCGGGCCCCGGCAGCGCGGTCACCGGCCGGCTGCGGTGTCGAGGCGGCGCCTCCGGGTGCCGCTGTTGGCCGACGCGGAGCGGCGCTGGAGCCGCAGCCGCAGCCACAGCCGGCGCCGCGTCAGGAGGGAGGAGCGCGGCGAGCGCTGTCGAGAATGGCGGTCGGTGAGAGGCAGCGGGAGAGTGGGAGCCGGCGGCGAGCAGGCGGGCGAGTGCTGGTGCTGCTGCTGGGCGCTTTGCTGCTGGGCTTGTGCTGCCGGGCGGCGGCTGCGTCGTCGTCGGAGCGGATCCGCTACGCCATCCCCGAGGAGCTGGGCAGAGGGTCGCTGGTGGGGCCGCTGGCGCGGGACCTGGGGCTGAGCCCGGCGGAGCTGCCGGCGCGCAAGCTGCGTCTCAGCGCGGAGAAGCAATACTTCGGCGTGAGCGGGGAGAGCGGGAACCTGTACGTGAGCGAGAGGCTGGACCGGGAGGAGATGTGCGGCGAGTCGGCGTCCTGCTCCGTCAGCTTCGAGGCGCTGGTGCAGAACCCGCTCAACGTTTTCCACGTCGAGGTGGCCATCCAGGACGTCAACGACAACGCGCCGACCTTCAGCAAGGCTGCTCTCGACCTCGAGATCACAGAGTTGACGCTCCCTGGTGCTCGTTTTCCGCTGGAGATGGCCCGAGACGCGGACGTGGGCAGCAACTCTCTGCTGACGTACCAGCTCACTGGCAACCCGGCCTTCACTCTGGACGTCAAGGAGAGCCCGGATGGAAGCAAGAGACCGGAATTAGTGCTGGAGAGAGAGCTGGACCGGGAGAAGCAGAGCTCCTTTGAGCTAGTGCTGACGGCGGTGGATGGCGGGGATCCCGTGAGGTCGGGGACTGTCCAGATTCGCGTCAACGTGACGGACGCCAACGACAACGCGCCCGTGTTCGGCAAAAGCCTCTACGAGGCCCAAGTGCGTGAGAACGTGCCGGCGGGGTCGCTGGTGCTGCAGGTGCGAGCCACGGATGCGGACGCGGGCTCCAACGGGCGGGTCTCGTACTCCTTCGGGAACGTCCCGGACGACGTCCGCGCCTTGTTCAGTGTCGAGAGCGAGAGCGGCGAGGTGAGGACGGCGGGACCGCTGGATTTCGAGGAGAAGAGTCGATACAGCTTCGGGCTGGAGGCGAGGGACGGCGGCGGACTCACGGCTCACTGCAAGGTGCAGATCGACATCATCGACGAGAACGACAACGCGCCCGAGATCACGGTGTTGTCGGTGTCGAGCCCGGTGCCCGAGGACGCGCCCGCCGGCACCGTGGTGGCCCTGCTGAAAGTGCGGGACCGGGACTCCGGGGAGAACGGTCAGGTGTGGTGCGAGCTGTCGGGCGAGGCGCCGCTGTCGATCGTGGCGTCGTCGGGCGGGTCGTACAAGGTGGTGACGGCGAGCGCGCTGGACCGTGAGCAGGCGTCCGAGCACCGCGTGACGGTGGTGGCCAGGGACCGGGGCAGCCCGCCGCTGTGGAGCCGCGCGTCGCTGGTGCTGGAGGTGTCGGACGTGAACGACAACGCGCCGGTGTTCGAGGAGGCGGCCTACAGCGCGTACGTGGCGGAGAACAACGCGGCGGGCGCGTCGGTGGTGCGCGTGCAGGCGCGGGACGCGGACGCGGGCGCCAACGGCCGCGTGAGCTACTGGCTGGCGGGCGGCAGCGCGGGCGCGGCGGCGTACGTGTCGGTGGAGGCGCGGAGCGGCGCGGTGTACGCGCAGCGCTCCTTCGACTACGAGCAGTGCCGCGAGTTCTCGGTGGCGGTGCGGGCGCAGGACGGCGGGGCGCCGGCGCGGAGCTCCACGGCCACGGTGCGCGTCTTCGTGCTGGACCGCAACGACAACGCGCCGCGCGTGCTCTGGCCGGCGCCGGGAGACGCGGCGGCGGCGTCGGGGGCGTCGGGATCGTCGTCGCCGTCGGGGCCGTTCGAGGTGGTGCCGCGCTCTGCCGAGGCCGGGTACCTGGTGGCCAAGGTGGTGGCGGTGGACGCGGACGCGGGGCGCAACGCGTGGCTGTCGTACGAGCTGGTGCAGGCGTCGGAGGCGGCGCTGTTCCGCGTGGGGCTGCACAGCGGCGAGGTGCGGACGGCGCGGGCCGTGTCGGAGAGGGACGCGGCGAAGCAGCGGCTGGTGGCCGTGGTGAAGGACCACGGGCAGCCGGCGCTGTCGGCCACGGCCACGCTGCACGTGGTGCTGGCCGAGAGCTTGCAGGAGGCGCTGCCGGAGCTGAGCGAGCGGGCGGCGGGCGCCGACTCGCCGGCCGAGCTGCAGTTCTACCTGGTGCTGGCGCTGGCGCTCCTCTCCGCCCTCTTCCTGCTCAGCGTGGCGCTGGCCGTGCTGGCGCGGCTGCGCCGGGCCGGGCCGCCCGCCGTCCTGCGCTGCCTGGGCGCGCAGCGCTTCTCCGTGGCCGGCGCCGCCTTCCCGGCCGACTTCTGCGAGGGCACCTTGCCCTACTCCTACAACCTGTGCGTGGCGCCGGGACGCGCCCTCGCCCAGCCCGCTTGGCCCTCGCCGCCGCCTCTGCCCGTCGTGCCCGCGGAGGATCTGCTGGGCGCGGAGCCCTGCGGGAAGCCGAGCCCGAGCATCAGCGCCGGCGCGGGAGAGCCGCCCGCCGACCCCGACGCCCCGCAGGTCTGTAAGCCCGCGCGCTCTCCCTCTTTTCCCTGAGCTGTGCTCAACCTCCCTCCCTATTGCCCTGGGTTTTTCGCCGATTGGTGTGGATTGGGAGTGATGGACCGCGTGTGTTTAGAATTAGATTTGCTGCTTCTGCATGACTCGGGATTGGCACTTGTAGTTGGAGGTGTTTCATTTCTGATCGACTTTTCCCCGAAACTGTGTTCTTGGTCCTCGTTGATACCTGGACATAACACATTGGTTAATGCTTTTTCGATAATAGATTCCAAATGGAAACGCGCGTGTGGCTCCACGATTGAAAAGAGACAGGTTTTTCGTCCCTAGTGACATTCGAGACTATAGTCTCGAACGAACAGAGTATTGCCCTTCCACTCACAGCAGGAATGCATTGACGGCACTTCTTGATTATTCAGCAGCCACAGGTTCAAGTGAGAGGTTTTGACTACAGGTCTCTAATGAGTTAGGGATGGTGAAGGCGGTAAACTAATGATTCTGCAGGACGGAAACTGTAGTGGACCCTTGGTCTCCAAAGAAAAGGTCCGTGTAGCTCCATGAATTGAGATGTTTCTGGTTGATACTCCTCACTGTTACAAGGTTTTGACTACAGGTCTCTAATGAGTTAGGGATGGTGAAGGCGGTAAACTAATGATTCTGCAGGACGGAAACTGTTTAGAATTAGATTTGCTGCTTCTGCATGACTCGGGATTGGCACTTGTAGTTGGAGGTGTTTCATTTCTGATCGACTTTTACCCGAAACTGTGTTCTTGGTCCTCGTTGATACCTGGACATAACACATTGGTTAATGCTTTTTCGATAATAGATTCCAAATGGAAACGCGCGTGTGGCTCCACGATTGAAAAGAGACAGGTTTTTCGTCCCTAGTGACATTCGAGACTATAGTCTCGAACGAACAGAGTATTGCCCTTCCACTCACAGCAGGAATGCATTGACGGCACTTCTTGATTATTCAGCAGCCACAGGTTCAAGTGAGAGGTTTTGACTACAGGTCTCTAATGAGTTAGGGATGGTGAAGGCGGTAAACTAATGATTCTGCAGGACGGAAACTGTAGTGGACCCTTGGTCTCCAAAGAAAAGGTCCGTGTAGCTCCATGAATTGAGATGTTTCTGGTTGATACTCCTCACTGTTACAAAATGTTCTCCCTCTTCTGCTGTGTGTCGTCTAGCCCATTGGAGAAAGAGTGCTGCAGAAATGGCAGCATTATTGGGGTGGATGAATTGTGTTCTATTCCTCATCCATTTGCCCAAGGAGAGATGACAGGGGAATACTAGACCGAGGAACTCGGTCTCTCTGGCACTTTTTGCAACAGTTTGTTGTGTCTGCCTCTTTACAGGTTAAAGGAGTCTAGCCATCACGAAATGTTATGCAAACCGAGAAGGAGATACTCAAAATGACAGCAATGGCACATTTGAATAAAGTCCATTTGCACATTTAGAAAGGCATCGCGTAAAGTTTAAGGGTGTGCAGCTGTACGTGTCTTGTGCCGTCCAACCGATTTGGTTGAAATATGTCCTACCAACATGAAAATTCAAGAATTAGAAGAACGGGTTGACAGTAATCTTCAGTCTGTTGCACCGTAACTTCTGAAAAAATCAGAGTTCATGCTGCTTGTTAATGAGCCTCATCTCTGATACTCTAGTTCTCCGTGTCGGGGTGGGTCTGAATACCACAGTGTCTCAGGCAGAGTCTCTTTTCTTTTGCTGTCCTTGTACCAGTCATTCAAGCGTGATCGCGCCAAAAATTCCTTATGGGGACTGTGCTTCGGGACGAATGGGATAAGACGTTTAATTTTCTAGACGTCATATTACAAAAAAACTTATTTTACTATACATCTATTGCCATTACCAAGTGATTTTTTTACGTGCGGTGGAATGAATACGTACGATGATCTTCATTACTGCTTTGTTATATTGGCTGGAATGTGCGGAATTAATGTGGCTGCGTGACGGGCTTTTTCTCTGTAGAAAGGGTGAGGGAAAATGCATTCAGTCGTGTGAAATCCGTGGTGGAGATTGTTCTGTCGGACTGATGGGCTAAGCCTTGTAATACGTCATAGTCAGAAAGCTTAATACATGTGATAGATCATCAATGGTCATTAAAAGATGATTCTAGTGCGGTAGAAATAACACAAAAGCGGAAGGCATCGCTGAGTTAGACCTCCTTGAGGATCAAAGGAGAGATCTTTTGGAGAAAAGGCATGGGATGAGATCAGCAGAGGTCGGGAAGCGCTGTCTCCGTGGCGAGTGTCCCGTCGGCGCGAGGTGCCCGTGGGAAAGGCGGGCGGGCAGCGGCGGGCAGCGCTCGGTGGCTGCAGTGCCGGGAGGAGGCTGCGGGCGCCGCTGTTGACCGAGGAGGAGCGAGAGGAAGGCCGGAGCGCTGCAGGCAGCCCCGCCCGCTGCGGCCCGGCTCGATCGCTCGCCCGATCGCTGGCTGGCTGGTTTGCTGGGCGGGCGAGCGTTCTGCGATCGTCCCCGCGGTGCGGAGCCGTGGTGCAGCGAGGCGGAGGGTCCGGCGGCAGCGGCCGGGAGCGGCGAGACGGTGACGGAGCCGAAGCCGGATCGGTAGCCGGATCGGGAGGCGGAAGAGCGGTCGGCGGTGTTGCGGTGCCGGCGGTGGGGCGGCGGAGATGTGGTCGGCGGGGAGGCGGTGGGTCCGGCGGGAGCGAGCCCTGCTGTGGTGCGTCCTGTTGGCGGCGTGGGAGGCGGCGTGGGGTCAGCTGCGCTACTCGATACCCGAGGAGATGCCGAAGGGCTCGTTCGTGGGCGACGTGGCCAAGGACCTGGCGATGGAGATCACGGTGCTCCAAGACCGCGGCGTCCACGTTGTCTCCAAACGCGGGACGCAGTATTTCTCTCTGCACGGGAAGACGGGACATTTAGTGACGGCGGAGAGGATAGACAGAGAGCAGCTGTGCGAGAGTGTGCAGCGATGCGTGCTGCGCTGTGAGGTGATCGTGGAGGGAGAAATGAAGGTTTACGGAATCGAAGTGGAAATCACGGATATCAACGACAACTCCCCCAGTTTCCGGGAGGCGGAAATAGAGCTGAGAATGAGCGAGACGACGGCGCCGGGGTGGCGGTTTCCTCTGAGGGACGCGCAGGACCCGGACGTGGGTCGGAATTCCCTGCAGAGCTACGAGCTGAGCGGCGACGAGCACTTCTCGCTGGCCGTGCAGGCGGGCCCCGGCGGGGAGCAGCGTCCCGAGCTGGTGCTGGCGAAGGCGCTGGACCGGGAGGAGGCGGCGTTTCACGAGCTGGTGCTGAGGGCGAGCGACGGCGGAGAGCCGCGGCGGACGGGCACGGCGCGCATCCGCGTGTCGGTGCTGGACGCCAACGACAACGCGCCCGCGTTCAGCCAGGCAGAGTACACGGTGCGTGTGGCGGAGGACGTGCCCGTGGGCTCCGTCCTCGTCACCGTCACGGCCACCGACGCCGACGAGGGGATCAATGGACAAGTAAAATACAGTTTCCATAAAATTTCGGACCGGGCGTCTAAACTTTTTAACCTGGACGCTGAGACGGGAGAAATATCCGTTAAAGAGGATTTAGACTTTGAAGAAATGTATTCCCATGACCTGGAGGTGCAGGCACAAGATGGTGGCTTCCTTTTCGACACAGCAAAAGTGGAGATCACGTTGACAGACGTCAACGACAACTCGCCCGATATTTCGGTGCGGTCGACGCTGAGCGACATCTCAGAGGACGCCCCGCCGGGGACGGTGGTGGCCCTATTGCACGTCCAGGACCGGGACTCCGGACTCAACGGGCAGGTGCGTTGCAGCATCGCCGAGAGCCTCCCGTTCCGTCTGGAGAAGAGCTTTGAGGACTACTACCGCGTGGTGACGGCGCGGGAGCTGGACCGCGAGGAGGTGTCGGAGTACAACGTGACGGTGCGGGCGGCGGACGGCGGGTCGCCGCCGCTGCGGAGCAGCGCGGTGCTGGCGCTGCGGGTGCTGGACGTGAACGACAACGCGCCGGTGTTCGCGGAGGCGCGGTACAGCGCGCGGGTGCCCGAGAACAACGCGGCGGGCGCGCTGCTGCTGAGGGTGCGGGCGCGGGACGCGGACTGGGGCGCGAACGCGCGCGTGCGGTACCGGCTGTGGGAGGGGCGGGTGCGGGGCGCGCCGCTGTCGTCGTACGTGTCGGTGCAGGCGGAGACGGGCGCGCTGTACGCGCTGCGCTCCTTCGACTACGAGGAGGTGCGCGAGGTGGGGCTGTGGGTGGGGGCGGAGGACGGCGGCGCGCCGGCGCTGAGCAGCAACGTGTCGGTGCGGCTGGAGATCGTGGACGAGAACGACAACGCGCCGCAGGTGCTGTACCCGCCGCCGGCGCCAGCGGGCTCGGGCTCGGGCTCGGGCTGGGGCTCGGTGTCGGGGTGGTGGTCGGGCGTGGAGCTGTGGCCGCGGTCGGCGGAGCCCGGGTCGCTGGTGGCCAAGGTGGTGGCGGTGGACGCGGACGCGGGTCAGAACGCGTGGCTGTCGTACGAGCTGGCCAAGGCGACGGAGCCGGGTCTGTTCCGCGTGGGGCTGCACAGCGGCGAGGTGCGGACGGCGCGGTTGCCGCTGGCCCGCGACGCGGCGCGGCAGAGCCTGGTGGTGGTGGTGAAGGACCACGGGCGGCCGGCGCTGTCGGCCACGGCCACGCTGAGGGTGGTGCTGGGCGAGAGCGTGGCCGAGCTGCTGTCGGAGCTGGGCAGCGCGGCGGCGGCGGCGCCGGGCGAGCCGGGCGGCAGCCTGACGCGCTGGCTGGTGCTGGCCGTGGCGGCCGTCTCCTGCCTCTTCCTCGCCTTCCTGCTGCTGCTGCTGGCGCTGCGCCTGCGCCGCTGGCGCCGCTCGCAGCTGCCGGCGGCGGGCAGCGGCGCCTTGCGCGGCGTCCCGGCCTCGCACTTCGTGGGCATCGACGGCGTCCGCGCCTTCCTGCGCTCCTACTCGCACGAGGTCTCGCTCACCGCCGACTCGCGCAAGAGCCAGCTGCGCTTCTCGGGCGGCAGCTGCTGCGACACCCTGCCGGCCCGCCCGCCGCCCGACGAGCCCGCGCCGCCGCTGCTCCCCGAGGACGCTGACGGCGCCCGCCGCGACGACCCCGCCGCTCCTCCGGTGAGTTCCTCCCACCCTCGGAATTGCTCCTCCACTCTTCCCTCTCACGAGTCTCTGCCCTTGCCGTTCTGTGTTCTCTGTCCTGCCTCGGGAGGTTTAGTTACAAAAAAAAAGGCAAATCTTGGTTCATGAGCGCCCTGTGCTGGTGCGTCTTGCTCCGGGGACGTGATCGTAGGCTCTTTGTCAGCCTTGCATTTTTTGTGGGAGTCAGGAGAGTTGGGGCTGCTGTTGGCTTGTGGTTCGGTAGAGCGAACATTTTTGTTCTTATCACCCATCACGTCATTTTTTATTTTGTCCCCTGATGGGTAATACCCATTCTGGTGTCAGTGCTAGCTCTTCTGAATGGATGTATGGCTTTATTAGCAAATTGCAGCTTTCGACATTAGCAGGTTAAGGTATATTCCTGACACAATATGTGCTGGAGTAGGATGAGCGTGTCTTAAAATGGACTGTTAATGGCCCCGTGTACAGCTTATAAGCTCCTTGCCAGATGGAGGAGAGTCATGGAAGTTGTGCCTCTTTGTCTCTTGGTTCTTGCATTTGAAAAACTATTGCAAGAAATAGATGTGTTCTGCTAACTCCCTGTATCTAAAATTTGACTTATTTGAAATGGATCTGGATGTGTCTTGGCTTGAGAAGAACCATAGGTGGGTGGGAGGCAGGGGATAGGATACTTTGGGGAGAAATGTAAGCAGAGGGTCTTTGGCCATGTGCACGTGTTCACTGAACCAGCCTCTCCTGTAAGACTGCTTTCTTTTTATTCCTAAGCTCTTGCCGTTTCTTTTCTGAATTGTAGTGAGAGTGACATGCATCTTCCTTCTTGGTATGGAGATGTGAAGATACTTATGTGAAGTTTGTGGTGTGATAATGTGGCATATTTAAAAGAAATGGTCTGGGACACTGGCCCTTTCTTGTCATGTCCTTTCAAACTATATGACTTAAAGGTCACCCTGCAAGTCTTGACGAGTTGGAGATGAGATTCACGAAAGCTCTGTGTGAGGGACACAAGAGATAGGGTTGCTCCTTTCCCTGTTCAATGTCCAACTGTAGTATCATGCAATGTGAGATTCTTCTTCCCAAAGAAATGTGGCTAGAGGACACGTGATTCCTGCTGTCTTGGGAGCCCTGGGAGCCCAGTTCTTCCTCTGGTGTTTGCAGTTGGTTGTCAATTCTTATGTAACACTAAATTACATATTTGTGACAAGCACTGTAATGGGAGCTTTTGGAAGAGCAAACTGTGTAATTGTGTCCTACTAAATACCTGAATTATGTACGTATTTAACTGCCATCATCTGGAAGAGTGTGTTGTGATCCTTTACTTTCTACAGGTGGTCACTTCTTGCCTCGTTTGCTTTGATGATCTGAATCTTGGCTTTAGTGTCTGATAATATGTGGAAGATCTCACCTGTTAGATGTGCCTGACTGTCCCGTACATGCCTTTCATGTTTACAGCTGTCAGGAGATAGATTTTTATGGACATGTTTCCTTGAAATGTTAACTGGACAAGTGCTCTTGCTTGTCACATACACATAGTGAGAAGTCAAGTATTATCCTTGGAAAGTAGAAGTTGCGTCTGCAACTTCTCTTTCAGTGGAGTCTATCTGTGTTTTATGAACATCAATGACAATGATGTGACCTCTGAAGGCTTTGAGGACAATGTTGGGGAAGCTGTGTATGAGGAGGTACAAGTGGAGACAAGGCATGAGTTTTCTTAATTCCCAGGGTTCATTGCTCGCCTACATTAAATGAGTCTGAAGGTGTCATATTTTTGGATATTGCACTGCTCAGGTTCCATCTGGCCAAGTTGTGGGTTCTTCTGTTGCATGATGTTTCCTATGAATGGCAGTTACTGAGCACAGACGTAGAATTTGCATTAAGATTTGAGAGTCATGTGTTTTCCAAATGCACATGTGCTGTAGTAGGATGATGATGTGTTTGAGGTGATAGTTTGATGAGTGGGTCTTTATTGGAGCTGCATATCCCTTATGCCCTTGAGAACATTGGATGTTCCTTCAAATTAATATGATGATTAGAGAAATCTCTGCATTTGTCCATGTTGGGATCATTGTCCTTTCAATGGTGTCTGTCTGCAAAGGCAGCTTTTTGTTGTGTGAAGTTTGGGAAGGGTGAAAAATTGTGTCTCTCCAGAGACAAGGCAGCTGAAAAAATTCACTGTGATATAATTTGAAATATCTAAAAATTATGAAAGTTTAGTTTCTCCTAGTTGATAAATGAGGCCCACAGTTGAGGTTCCATGCATTTTCCACTTTTATATTGTCCAAAGAGGAGCTGTGGCTCTGGTCTTTGGTGTGAGCTGCTGCATGAACTTCCTGTGGACTTTTTACCAACAAGATACCCTTGTTATGTTCCTGCTAGACCTGACTTGATCTGAAATGTTAACTCACCTTCCTTCACTTCATCATGTTTCCGATTCTTGCCTTGGTTGTCAGGGGATTTTTTTATTTTTTTGGTGGGTGGATGAGCGTGTCTTGAAATGGATTGTTAGTGACCCTGTATGTAGGTGCTCCTCCTTTCTGCTTTTCTCAGCCTTTCTGTTTTTCCTTTGTAATGTGATTGATTATGGAATGTCTTTGTATTTGTCCAAGCTTTGATCTTTCTACACCAATCGAGGAAGGTACTGGGCAACAACTTGTTCTTGGCTGTCTACCAGTTGTGGAGGTGAAAGAGAATTGTCAAAGTTGTGACAATTTGAGAAACTGTCTGGGTGGCTGTGTTTGAAGAGCTACTACTGGCAGATGTGTATTGCTGATTCCTTCTCTTTTAAGGTTGACTTATTTGAAATGGAGCTGATCCTGTCTTGGCTTGACAACACATGCTGTGGCAAGAGCTGTACAAGGGTAGGAGGGAGAGCTTAGGAGGGTGATATTGCCCCCCTGCAGATGTTCTCTGACCTAGGTTGAACTGGAGGACCACTTCCCTTTTACCGTTAGTCTACTGATGTTTCTTCTCTGAAGTGAAGTGAGCAGACAATATGTCTTCCTCCTTAGGATGGAGATGTGAAGTTATCCATGTGAAGTTTGTGGTGCGATAGTGGTACATGTTGAAGAGAAATGGTGTAGACAACTAGGCCCTTCATGCCATGTGCTTGTAAATTCTAAGGGTCAAAGAACACCGTGCAAGTTGTGAAGGCTTGAAGATAAGAGTCCTGATAACTCTGTGTGAGGGTAACAAGAAATACTTTCGCTCCTTCCCCATTCAGCGTCTAGTTGTAGTATCATGCAATGTGAGTTTCACCTTTCTGAAGAAGTTTGGCTAGAAGACATGTGATTCCAGCTGTTCTGGGAGCCCTGGGAGGTTCTTCCTCTGCTTATTCAGGCTGTTGTCAATTCTTAACTCACAGTGAATTGTGTATTTATGACAAGCACCAGAATGAGGGCTTTGGGCAGAGCAACCTGTGTCTTTGCTACCTACTAAATACCTGGATTATGGGCCTACTCTGAGTGCCATAATCTAGAAGAGTAATCTCTAAGCCCTTCCTTTCTGCATGCATTCACTTCTTGCCTTGGTCATTGTGTTGGTCTGAAAGTGAGCCTTTGTATCTGACAATGTGTGGAGGATCACATCTGTCACATTTGCCTGGCTGTCCCATATTGATCTCTCATGTTTACAGCTGGAAAGAGAGGCTCTCATAAACACATTTCCTTCATATAAAAGCTGAACAAATGTTCTTGCTTTTCACATCCACATGGAGAGAAGTCAAGTATTAACCATGGAAAGGAGAAGTTGTCTGTGCAGCTTTTCTGTAGGTGGAGTCTGTCTGCAAATTATGGTGATCATTGTCAATGGTGTGGTCTGTGAAGGGTTTGAAGAGAGTCTTGGGGGTGGTGTGTGTGAGGAGGTAGCAGTAGAGAAAAGGCATGTGTGTTATTAATTCCTAGGGTTCATTCCTGGGCTACATAAAATGAGACTGAAGGTGCCTTAATTTTGGATATCACACTCCTCAGGTTCCAACTGGCCAAGTTGTGGGTTCATCAATCTGTTTCCTGTTGCATGATATTTCCCAACAATGGCAGTTACTAAGCATATGCATAACCTTTCGGTTAAGGCTTGAGCAGCATGTATCTTCCAAGTTGCCCAATGTGCTGAAGTAAGATGATGGTATGATAGTATCCCTGAGGTGATTCTTTGACAACTGGGTCTGTTTTGGAGCTGTATATCATTTATGCACTTGAGAAGATTTTAGATGTGCTTCCAGTTTGTGTGATGAGCAGAGAAATGTCTTTGCATGTATCCAAGTTGTGATCCCTCTTCTCAATAATGAGAAACTGTGCGTGCAGCTCTCCCTTCAGCAGCATCTGTTTGCAAAGACCTTTGCCATTTTTCTTTTCCCAGGTTTCCTGTCTCAAAAGATAACGATTGTCCTCTGGTTGTATAGTATTTCAAAATAACTGTGCTTGTAGAAAAATGGTGCATGAATAGGAGGCTTCAAGGTCATAGTTTGTTTTCCCAAGTCTGGATAATTCTGTTGTATTTGAAACTGCAGGTGCTTTTTGCAGCAAACACACACTTCCCTTGGCAAGGTTTTTTTTTTTGCAGCAAACACTTTCTTCCCTTGGCAAGCCCTCAGCCACCTGAAGAAGCCCAGGATGACCAAACTTGAGAAAGAGGCCTGTGATAAGTGTTTACACTTACGGCTTCATATTCGTATGCAGATGAACAGGCCACAGAGTCAAAAAAATTGATTGAGAGCTGATGACTGTTTCTCAAAATGAACTCCCCTACAATGTAGTCCACAAGAAGACTTTAGGGTTGCAGTTTTGCTTGAAACCTCAGTGATTTGCAGGTGCTGAGAGGGTCAATATCAACACCAGCAGTGAAGACACAAGAAGACTTCCAGGTGAGTTTCTCTGAGAAGCCTTTATCTTTATTGGTTCCTTACCTTCCTAGTCCAGTTTTTTGTTTTTGATTTTGGTTTTTTTTTTTTTTTTTTTCCCTCTTCCTGGCTTGCTCTGTATGTAGGTTTAGTTTGCAGAAGTGGCATATCTTCATTTAGCCATGTGTTGTGTTTTAGTGCTTCCTGCAGTTTTTGTGGAAGGCAGGAGATGTGAGGTTATATCTATGTTCTGGTTGTGGCAGGGAGAGGAGATTAAAGCATGAAGCCAGTAGAAGTCCCATCTGTGTAAAACAGTGTGTGTGACAAAAGAGTGGAGGAGATTTCCCAGAAGGTGATATTTTGATATTACCCATCTTCTGTTGGATGACTGCTCCTCCTTTAGTTCTGGCATATAATGTTCCTGTGTTTTACAATTCTGCTATATCTTCATGGAACATTGAAGAGCAGACAAACATACTTCCTTTTTGGTGTGATTGTGGTGTATTGTACTGTCATGATATGTTTTTGGCAATACTGAGTGCCATAAGCAAAGCCACAGGTTATGTAGGGTTGGAGAGAAGACTTGGGAAAGCTCTGTTGGCCGGGGGGTGGTAGAAGTAGTGATGGTCACTTCCCTGCTTGTCACAGTAACTCAGCTGGGCACATGGTTGTGGTTCCATGCAATTTCTATTCCTTCTGCTCAATACGTTTGGCCTAATGAATGTTATTTCAGCTGATCCATATTTATTTGTGTATGTTTCTCACTCTTGTCTTGCTTGTCATGAGCTACAGCCTGTCCTCAGGGTGTCTGATGAAATGGGGAAGGTCAGCTCTGTTCCAGTAATCTGAGTGCAGGGGCATTTCCTTCCCACACCTTGAAGGTTCATAGCTGTAAGGAGGAAGGCTTTCATAGGTGTATGTGTGCTCCCAGAGCGAAGACTTGTCTGTAGGGAAAGAAAGCAAACCCTTTTCTGCCGCAGTCCTCAAAGTGCAGAGAAGCAACCCAGCCCAGCCAAGGTTTCCATGAAGAGACATGGAGTCAGTGGGAGAACATGTGCAGGGTGTCCCCTACATGATGTCCCATTACATGACTTGGTTGGAGAGATATGGGTTTGACAGGTGGACTGTCAAACTGTTAGATGGACAAGGAACTGGCTGGATGGTCACCTCTGAAGAGTTCTAGTCAATGGTTCAATATCCAGGTGGGAACAAGTAACGTGGTATTGCTCCAGAAGCCATACTGGGACAAATAATTTTGAATGTATCTCAAGAATATCTTCATCAACAAGTTCCATGGTTTCCTCTGGGGTGGACTTGACAGTCTTGCTGGCAGCTGGTGTAAGTCTATGTTGTGGATTTGAGTTGGAAATGGTGTTGGTAAAACACTGATGTTGTTGGTTGTGTGAAGCAGACAAGACATTTTCTGCTTCTCATACCGCCACTGCCAGCGAGTGTGCTGGACATGCACGAGAAGTTGGGAGCCGATATAAGCAGGACAGCTAAGTTCAACTGACCAAAGTGTTTATGCATATCTTGTGATGTCATGCTCAGGATACGGAGGTGGGGGAAGAAGGGAAGAGGGGGACACATTTGGAGTTCTGGTGTTTGTCTTCCCAAGTAGCTGTTGGGCATGATGGAGCCCTGCATTCAAGGAGAGGCCTGAACATGTCCCTCTCAATTGGAAGTGGTGACTGAATTCCTCGTTTTCCTTTGCTTGTCTGAGCAGCGTTTTTGTTACTTAAACTGTCTTTATCTCTACCCATGGGTTTTCTAACATTTATTCCTCTGATTCTCCTCCCAACCGGGGAGTGAGCAATAGGCTGCATGGTCCTAACTGTCAAATCAGGACAATGACACTGACAGCAGGATTCAATGTACCCACCACGATTTTGCAGGCAATAAAAATTAGAGTGAGGCAATTGATTCACTATGGGGAAGGGATGCCATCCAGAGGGACCTGGACAGGCTGGAGGAATGGGCCTGTGATAATGTAATGAAATTGAAGAAGGCCAAGTGCAAGGTCGTGCAGCTGGGTTGGGGCATTCCCCAGTTTCAGCAGAGACAGGGGGATTGTGTCCAGGGGCAACGGATTTAAACTGAAAGAGGGTAGGTTTCCATTAGGCATAAGGAAGAAATCATGAGGGCAATGAGACACTGGTAGAGGTTTCCCAGGGAAGTCATGGATGTGTCGTCAACGGAAAGTCTGAAGGTGAGGTTGGATGGGGCTTTGAGCAATGTGATATAGTGAAGGATGTCACTGCCCATGGCAGAGGGAGTGGACTAGATGTTCTTTAGAGGTCCATTTTGACCCAAACCATTCTATGGTTCTATGAAAGACGCGATGTGGCTTTGCACTTCCCTGTTGCCAATCCCTCAAATACAGCGATGCAAAGAAGAAACTTTTGTGAATCCCAAATAAAACTGCAAATGTTTTCCTGCTATCTTACCATAGAGCTACAGACACTATTTTCAGGGTGACACATGTCTCAGTGTGCTTACTCTTGTCCCTAAAATAAAAATCAACGGTGGGAAAAATGTCAGAGATTTCCATGAGCAAAAGGAAGATATGCAGGGAAAAGGGAAACCTTTTTCAGGTCCAGCATGACAGGACTGCAGTGGCTTTTGCTTCAATCTGTTTCTCATTACTTATTGATTACTCCAACAAGAATACTTTCTTCTAGATTTCATCCCAGGTAAGAAAAGCAGAATTCAGAGTAACTGAAGAAATAGTATAAAGCTCTTAAGGATTCGCTAGCTATAAAATCGTTTCTAGCTCTCATACATCCGTCTGGATTTTGTCAAGAGCAGCTGAGTTCCTTTGCCTACTTCTCTGCCACGAAAAATGACTGCTATTTATTGCGAGTCAAGGAGATGACATAAAATACATAACGGCGTATCTCAGCTTAAAAAGCGTTGGGAGCTGCAGCAAGCAAGAGCCCTTGCGTTTCTTGATTCTACCAAAGCCATACCTGAAAGCTGGGCACAGCCACGGAACACCAGCCGAAATCCGGACCCCGGCAGCGCGGTCACCGGCCGCCTGCAGTATCGTGGCGGCGCCTCCGGGTGCCGCTGTTGGCCGACGCGGAGCGGCGCTGGAGCCGCAGCCGCAGCCGGAGCCGGCGCAGCGTCAGGAGGGAGGAGCGCGGCGAGCGCTGGCGAGAATGGCGGTCGGTGAGAGGCAGCGGGAGAGTGGGAGCCGGCGGCGAGCAGGCGGGCGAGTGCTGGTGCTGCTGCTGGGCGCTTTGCTGCTGGGCTTGTGCTGCCGGGCGGCGGCGGCGGCGGCGGAGCGGATCCGCTACGCCATCCCCGAGGAGCTGGGCAGAGGGTCGCTGGTGGGGCCGCTGGCGCGGGACCTGGGGCTGAGCCCGGCGGAGCTGCCGGCGCGCAAGCTGCGTCTCAGCGCGGAGAAGCAATACTTCGGCGTGAGCGGGGAGAGCGGGAACCTGTACGTGAGCGAGAGGCTGGACCGGGAGGAGATGTGCGGCGAGTCGGCGTCCTGCTCCGTCAGCTTCGAGGCGCTGGTGCAGAACCCGCTCAACGTTTTCCACGTCGAGGTGGCCATCCAGGACGTCAACGACAACGCGCCGACCTTCAGCAAGGCTGCTCTCGACCTCGAGATCACAGAGTTGACGCTCCCTGGTGCTCGTTTTCCGCTGGAGATGGCCCGAGACGCGGACGTGGGCAGCAACTCTCTGCTGACGTACCAGCTCACTGGCAACCCGGCCTTCACTCTGGACGTCAAGGAGAGCCCGGATGGAAGCAAGAGACCGGAATTAGTGCTGGAGAGAGAGCTGGACCGGGAGAAGCAGAGCTCCTTTGAGCTGGTGCTGACGGCGGTGGATGGCGGGGATCCCGTGAGGTCGGGGACTGTCCAGATTCGCGTCAACGTGACGGACGCCAACGACAACGCGCCCGTGTTCGGCAAAAGCCTCTACGAGGCCCAAGTGCGTGAGAACGTGCCGGCGGGGTCGCTGGTGCTGCAGGTGCGAGCCACGGATGCGGACGCGGGCTCCAACGGGCGGGTCTCGTACTCCTTCGGCAACGTCCCGGACGACGTCCGCGCCTTGTTCAGTGTCGAGAGCGAGAGCGGCGAGGTGAGGACAGTGGGGCCTCTGGATTTCGAGGAAAAGAGTAGATACAGCTTCGGGCTGGAGGCGAGGGACGGCGGCGGACTCACGGCTCACTGCAAGGTGCAGATCGACATCATCGACGAGAACGACAACGCGCCCGAGATCACGGTGTTGTCGGTGTCGAGCCCGGTGCCCGAGGACGCCCCCGCCGGCACCGTGGTGGCCCTGCTGAACGTGAACGATCCGGACTCCGGGGAGAACGGTCAGGTGTGGTGCGAGCTGTCGGGCGAGGCGCCGCTGTCGATCGTGGCGTCGTCGGGCGGCTCGTACAAGGTGGTGACGGCGAGCGCGCTGGACCGTGAGCAGGCGTCCGAGCACCGCGTGACGGTGGTGGCCAGGGACCGGGGCAGCCCGCCGCTGTGGAGCCGCGCGTCGCTGGTGCTGGAGGTGTCGGACGTGAACGACAACGCGCCGGTGTTCGAGGAGGCGGCCTACAGCGCGTACGTGGCGGAGAACAACGCGGCGGGCGCGTCGGTGGTGCGCGTGCAGGCGCGGGACGCGGACGCGGGCGCCAACGGCCGCGTGAGCTACTGGCTGGCGGGCGGCAGCGCGGGCGCGGCGGCGTACGTGTCGGTGGAGGCGCGGAGCGGCGCGGTGTACGCGCAGCGCTCCTTCGACTACGAGCTGCACGGGAAGACGGGACATTTAGTGACGGCGGAGAGGATAGACAGAGAGCAGCTGTGCCGGCTGGTGGAGAAATGCGTGCTGCGCTGTGAGGTGATCGTGGAGGGGGTAATGACGGTTTACAGAATCGAAGTGGAAATCACGGATATTAACGACAACGCCCCCAGTTTCCGGGAGGCGGAAATGGAGCTGAGAATGAGCGAGACGACAGCGCCGGGGTGGCGTTTTCCTTTGGCCGAGGCTCAGGACCCGGACGTGGGACGGAATTCCCTGCAGAGCTACGAGCTGAGCGGCGACGAGCACTTCTCGCTGGCCGTGCAGGCGGGCCCCGGCGGGGAGCAGCGTCCCGAGCTGGTGCTGGCGAAGGCGCTGGACCGGGAGGAGGCGGCGTTTCACGAGCTGGTGCTGAGGGCGAGCGACGGCGGAGAGCCGCGGCGGACGGGCACGGCGCGCATCCGCGTGTCGGTGCTGGACGCCAACGACAACGCGCCCGCCTTCAGCCAGGCGGAGTACACGGTGCGTGTGGCGGAGGACGTGCCCGTGGGCTCCGTCCTCGTCACCGTCACGGCCACCGACGCCGACGAGGGGCTGAATGGACAAGTAAAATACAGTTTCCATAAAATTTCGGACCGAGCGTCGGAACTATTTCACCTGGACGATGAGACGGGAGAAATATCCCTTAAGAACCATATGGACTTTGAGGAAATGTCATCCCATGAACTGGAGGTGCAGGCACGGGACGGAGGAGAGCTTTTCGACACGGCGAAAGTTGTGATCACTGTGACCGACGTGAACGACAACACACCAGAGATTTCGGTGCGGTCGGCGCTGAGCGAGATCTCTGAGGACGCCCCGCCGGGGACGGTGGTGGCCCTGCTGCACGTGCAGGACCGGGACTCCGGACTCAACGGCCAGGTGACCTGCTCGCTGGACGGGGGCGTCCCGTTCCGGCTGCAGAGCTCGCGGGGCAGCTACTACAGCGTGGTGACGGCGCGGGAGCTGGACCGCGAGGAGGTGTCGGAGTACAACGTGACGGTGCGGGCGTCGGACGGCGGGTCGCCGCCGCTGCGGAGCAGCGCGGTGCTGGCGCTGCGGGTGCTGGACGTGAACGACAACGCGCCGGTGTTCGCGGAGGCGCGGTACAGCGCGCGGGTGCCCGAGAACAACGCGGCGGGCGCGCTGCTGCTGAGGGTGCGGGCGCGGGACGCGGACTGGGGCGCGAACGCGCGCGTGCGGTACCGGCTGTGGGAGGGGCGGGTGCGGGGCGCGCCGCTGTCGTCGTACGTGTCGGTGCAGGCGGAGACGGGCGCGCTGTACGCGCTGCGCTCCTTCGACTACGAGGAGGTGCGCGAGGTGGGGCTGTGGGTGGGGGCGGAGGACGGCGGCGCGCCGGCGCTGAGCAGCAACGTGTCGGTGCGGCTGGAGATCGTGGACGAGAACGACAACGCGCCGCAGGTGCTGTACCCGCCGCCGGCGCCAGCGGGCTCGGGCTCGGGCTCGGGCTGGGGCTCGGTGTCGGGGTGGTGGTCGGGCGTGGAGCTGTGGCCGCGGTCGGCGGAGCCCGGGTCGCTGGTGGCCAAGGTGGTGGCGGTGGACGCGGACGCGGGTCAGAACGCGTGGCTGTCGTACGAGCTGGCCAAGGCGACGGAGCCGGGTCTGTTCCGCGTGGGGCTGCACAGCGGCGAGGTGCGGACGGCGCGGTTGCCGCTGGCCCGCGACGCGGCGCGGCAGAGCCTGGTGGTGGTGGTGAAGGACCACGGGCGGCCGGCGCTGTCGGCCACGGCCACGCTGAGGGTGGTGCTGGGCGAGAGCGTGGCCGAGCTGCTGTCGGAGCTGGGCAGCGCGGCGGCGGCGGCGCCGGGCGAGCCGGGCGGCAGCCTGACGCGCTGGCTGGTGCTGGCCGTGGCGGCCGTCTCCTGCCTCTTCCTCGCCTTCCTGCTGCTGCTGCTGGCGCTGCGCCTGCGCCGCTGGCGCCGCTCGCAGCTGCCGGCGGCGGGCAGCGGCGCCTTGCGCGGCGTCCCGGCCTCGCACTTCGTGGGCATCGACGGCGTCCGCGCCTTCCTGCGCTCCTACTCGCACGAGGTCTCGCTCACCGCCGACTCGCGCAAGAGCCAGCTGCGCTTCTCGGGCGGCAGCTGCTGCGACACCCGT